TGTCATCATAAGGGTTTCAAAATATCTTTCAGAGTGGTTGTAAGGAAAAGAGATGTTTGCTAAAACCATCAGTCTAAAATGGTTTCATATTTAGTTTATATTTAGTCTAATTCATCTAGTTCCTTCGTCAAAAACCAAAAAGAAGGCATAAAAAGACCAAAAGGTATTAAGCAAGTGATTCTGCCACTATATCTCCATTTAACTTTAGACACATCCTCAACCTAAATTTCATATTACACATGAATTAAATGAACAATTAAATTTTAAACTCCTGTTCTTGGACATGATTAAAACCAAAGGCGTGAGTCTCAAAAATTCTTCGGTGCATAATTGCAAATATCCATTAGAAATTATTATTAAGATTTTATAACAACTTTAGAACACCTTAGAGCTGCACCCTCTACAAGACAGAATTTACTTCAATTAAGGAACCTGACTGAAGTACTAAAAATACAGTGATGTGTTCTATGAGAATGGAATATTAAACGCTTCAAGCAACACCTCATTTACCTCCTAAAATTTGCCAGTTCCCATTAACTTCTTCACAGACCCATCATTTAGTAGACCACCCTTTGGTCTGTTACAGTAACAATCACTGTAAAACCCAGGGCAGTATGGCACAACACAGCAGCAAAGGTTACCAGTGTGTGCTGAGGGAGACCAGTAACACTGAGGGGAAATTCTCTGGCAAATCATCTCTTTGCAACACTGCATTATTCACTGCAGACAACATGCTCAGCACAGGAGCAAATAACTGAACCATTATTTCCACTTTCAGCAGCTCTACACCATTGTAGCAAGTTGCTGATGGTAACTGGCAGCTTCTCAACAGCACATCAAAAATTGGATAACTGAAATTAAATCGAGCATATGAGAGAATTGGAAGGAAAGGCTGAAGCACAGACCTTTTCTAAACAGAATGGAGGGTCAGTTTTAAATTGCTGTGGTAATGTTAGCAAACATGTATCAGTTATTTATTGCAAATGAGGCAAGCAACTTCTCCTAATGCAAAAATTTTAAATTGTAGACACATGCATATGCTTGGAGCATATTTCTGAAGTAAGAAGAGACTTATTTTTGAAGTAAAAAGCATCTTACAATTAAGTCACCTAATATCTAATAAAAAACAGAACAACAAATTAAAAAAAAATCCCAGCCCTGCGTATATACATGAACTAAACATGTTCAGTCATCTTTAAACATTCCAAGTTTAAAATCCCATCTGAAAGAAATATTCAAAATTATAATAAATATTTAGAATCAAATAAAATAGCCATTCTTACCTCAGTAACAGTGCCAAGCTTTTTGAGGCTAATAAAAGGAATTGGTAACTTCAGAAGGTTTTTTTTAAGCAATCAGCTTTAATACAATTGCATTTTCAGTCATTTGATGGGTTGAAACAGGTCACAGATTAGGGTTCAAGTGGCTCAACACAGCCACAACCTCCAGGCATTCATGTTCAGCTGCACAACACTACCTGCCCCATCATACAGGGTCACTCTGGTAATAAACCACAACATTGTTTGCAAAACTTGCAGACTGTTGACTGCTCATGTATAACTACAACTATCATGTCTTTTAAGAAATTAATATAAGTGCAGGGAAATTCAACTTTTCCCAGTTTGGCTGAATGTTTTCTCTACTGCATTTCTGAATAGATGTGTTCCATACAAGTTTGCCTTGAGCTGGGACCAACCTGGGATCTGCTATAGCACTCATGGAAGCACATAGCTGCCAATAACTACCCTGATGGAAAAAAAAATTTTAAAAATGAGCTTCCTGCATACCTATTGCAGCAAAAAGAACATCCTAAATATGAATACATTGACCCTATAAAACTCAGTCTAACCCACCATCTATTGCTCCTCATCCAATGAACATGTAGCAGTATATCTGTAAAGCACACATGTACTGTTAGTTTAGTGTAAGTTTAAAGCTGTAACAGTACAATACAAACAAGCAAATGTTTATTCATTCCCTAAATGTACTGTGGAGTAACTTGAGGAATCTTCTTCAATGTACACATCTGCTCAGCTGGCAGCAGTCTAAACACATTGGATGCCAAGAACTTTTGATTGTCAGGAGTCTTTAGGCTCCGACGCTGAATTGCAGAGGACATTTTTGTCTGCATTACATTTACTATGATTTAAAGACAGTGAACACATCCAGGGTACCAGACATTTTCTGGGCACCATGACAGAACTCAGAAATTTAAAGAAAGAAAGAATTACAACATTTACTTTTTCCCACAATCACTAGAAGTTTTAGCTTTCTCTCTCTTGGTTTTACCACCGGTTCCATAATAAAATTTAGGTCTCAATCTAAATCATCTGAAGCTTTTAACTTTTTGCTCCAAACCATAAACTCAAATCTGAGACCAAGAACAGGCCATTGCAGTCACAGCAATCTTAATTTCATATAAAATTCATTCAGTCTCTTACCTGTCCCCACTCAAATCCATGCTTTAGGGATACTCACACTCTTCCCTTAGTCTACATGATACAGTTATCTCTATTTCTATTTACTAGCAACTTCCTACATCCTGTGCTGCAATCCTGGGCATTTTGACTCGTTAACACTTCCTGCCCATAAATACTAGAGATGAATTCGAAAATTATTATATCAAATACAGTTTTAGTGTGCTTTTTGAGGTGAGCAATGAAGTAATCCATTGCCACAGATAAATTACCACTGTCAAGTCTAAGTTCCAGGCAAATAAGCCAATTCTCGTTGCTGTGCAGTGGCAGGATTTCAGCTCACCTACCTCACTTGCTGCTGAGCCACACCTCCCTCACGTTTCTCCACACTATTTCGGCAGATACTCCCATGTTCAGGCCTACACTTCCAAGTGTCTTTTTTTAAACACTTCTTACAAAATTCCATCATTTTCTCAAGGCAATTCCTCAATCCCCTCAACACCTACTTCCAGCACTTCTATACATTGTTGCTTGTTGCTTCCTACACTCTCCTCAGGGTTCCCCAGCTCCGTCCCCTCAGAGCCGGCGCTGAGGACCGGCCGCTCCTGCCCCTGCCCCAGGCGGGAGCGCGGGGAACCCACCGCCGTACGGCTGTGAGGAAAATGTTCCACCTCAGCACTACCGAGGGCAAGGTCATGTCGGCTCCTTCAGACAGAGGGAAGGCACAAGCACAACTCTCAGGGCGGCTGCAGCCCCCAGCCCCACACGGCCGGCGGGGAGGCGAGAGGCGGCGGCCGCGCCGCCAGCGCCCGGCCGGCCCTGAGGGGAGCGGAGCAGCCGAGGGCGAGAGGCGCCGGGACAGCGCCGGGATAACGCCGGGACAGCGCTCTCAGGCATCGGGCGGAGCTCGGGGCTGGCCGGTGCAGGGCCAGGAGCTGGACTCGACGATCCTCAGGATATTGTGTGATTCACTGACCTCTGGAGTCAGTAACAGCACAAATCCGCAGCGAGCAGGAAGCCCCAGAGCCATCACAAGTAGTGATGACAGCTTTGCTTTCCCAAAACAAATTCTGTGCACGTATTTTAAACATACATTATGAAATAAATGTGGATCTAATTTAAGCTACATTCTTTCCCTCCTAGAATTAATGATTTCATTTGAGGCACAGGGAAGCGGACCAAGCCCCACACAACAGCGGGGTCTGGTGCAGGACGAGCGGCGTCAGCCTCTGCTCAGGACACCACCGGCGCTGAGCTCTGACACTCATCCAGCCACATTTTGTGTCAGAAATATCAGTGCCCCAGCCAGCACAGTTCAGTAGCTTACCCAGGTGTCAACTGGTAAAATCAAACACACACAAAGACTCGGGCATGCAAGAACCCTGTTTTCTTAAGCAGTATTAATTACTGATAGAGATCATTAACATCCAGCTTCTCAAAATGACACCTGAGAGGAGGTGTATAGAAATAGTGGGTAGTTAACCTTTGTAGTGTAGCCAACTCTGAAGAAACAAGTTTTAAGGGATTGGATTGTAATGCAATTAAGACTTATATTTTCCCTGCAGGTATGTAAGTATTGCTGTTCAGGAGTAAAGAAGATCCAAACGGCCTCAGGGTACAGACTCCAGGTGGATTCCCTGTGACACTGTTGCCCTCTCTGTCTCTTGAGCAGCTAACTCCTTGCCCCTTAACCTGTACTATTGACAATCCCCTTAAATGCTTCTGCATCCTTTTGTCATCATGACTCAAGCTCTGTCCCCAATCATGTTAAGCCAGTTCTTTAGGATATACAGTTAACAAATCACTCCAACATTTGGATAGAACACCATGTGATTTACCTGAATCACCTCAAGGAGATATGAAGACTCCACTCGACTGTTACTAGCTGTTGCACATATTCTGAGAACTAAATTTACAATTGCTTTGGATATTCAAGATGAAAGTGATTTAAGTATTTAGTTCCAAGGTCGTGAATGCTGGGGAAGAAAAGTCTCTGGATTCTGGAGAGCAGAAGAGTTCAGTTACTATTTTTCCCTTGCACCACTAATAACAAGACTTTCCCACATTTTAGTGTGAGAATGCGATGATAGAGCTGCTATTAAACAATTTAATTATAGTACCTCTGGGAGCATTCTAAGGTTAGAAATGCAACATTTCACATTTAACATCTTGAAATTATTTTTCCTCTTTGCAATGCAAGTTCACAATTATTTTAAAACCCACAAATTTGGACATACCTTCAAACAGGTTATTTCATGTTTAACAGACAGTGGTTCCCACTCTAGTGTAAATATAATGAAGCCTTCTTAATATTCCACTCTTCCACAGGAATGGTTCTGAATTTGCTGATTTGTAGAATTCTTTTGTTTTCACCCCTCCAAGGGAAACACATAGCAATTTAAATCTTATGACAATAGGCTTGCTTTTCTTGGTTACATTTCACAAATATCTTGAAAATAGTCCATGGAACAAAAGGGTCTGCTACTCACAGGATGACAAAAATATGTTATATTAGGAAGAAGGAAAACAAAAAAAAGGTCTCACTCAAACAATTTCAGACGCTAATAAATAAAACCAAACCAGTTCCTAAGAAAATGTCTTTAATTTTCATGTTATGGAAATACATATTTTGGTTTTATTTCCATGATACAAAAATTTAAATATCAAACATTTTCTGAAATCTACCAATGCAGATCCTTTTTTAAACAATAAAGGGCTGGTGCAGTTAGCAGGTTTATCACATTTACCAAAAAACATTTTTTACAGAATCAGGATTTAAAAGTGGGAACAACAGATGTGAAAACAAAGAAAAACTACTTCCCACCAGGAAATTAATGTTGGAGAAACTTTTAAGTTACAGTTTTTTGAAAGGGTAGGTATGTGTAATGCTGGTATTTAGATGAATACCACCTGCACTGGGGGTGAGGGTAGAGAACAGAAATTCAAAAAATGTTCCCAGATAAAGTAGCAGGTAGAAAACAGTAAGTAGAACTGCAGTTCTACCTGCTTCCAGAATGCTGACAGCATACTGAAGCTGCCTGAAAACAGTTAAATATTAGGAGAGCTGTAGTAACTCCCCAAGCAAAGGAAACAGCCTAGCACAAAATCACAGAGTGCCAGTTCTTGTACAGTTCACAGCCAGCATGCCAAAGGAGGTGACCAAAGGACATTGAGTCTTGCTTCTTAAACCTAACATCAGTTACAACAGCAAGGATTTCACAGGATCAACAACAAGTCATATGCTAGGTGATGTACACACGAGTAAAATTGACAGTGATTGTTCAAGAAACAGTTTAAAATAATTAAACTGATTTTCAGGACACATACTGCTTTGTTAACACCACTTTATTTAAATAAAGTATGGCTTCCAAGAGGTGTATTCTCTCAACTGCTTTCAATCAATTCCACTTTTTAAGGCAGTTGTTTCCTACCATGTTTCAGGGACCTCAAAAATTCCAGTGGAACTACTTGTGAGGCTTCCTAGAAGACAGAATCATGGAATAAAAATTACATCAAGTTTTTTTTTTTTGCTGTTGTTCTTTCAGAGGATACTAAGACATATTTTCCTATAGAGGAAGGCTCTAGATATGTTACTGGCAAGTCAATATTTACAAAGAGAAACCAAGAGACTGTTTATGAATAGGTACTAAAAAAAGGGGAAAAAATAAAGGTTAATTTCAAGTTTCTTACATAAATGGTAAATAATGTATTTTTAACCCTAGTAATTAGGTAATTTTGGTTTTGCAATTACTGGGATGATAAAGTTAAATACTATTTTCCCAAGTGTACTTGTCATTATTTTTATTTAGGCTGTCAAGACAGTGAAGAATATTTCCATCCCAAATTAACCACAGAATAAAGATGAATCATTAATACCAATAACATATATTCCCATAAGGCCAAATAAGAGCCTGAATTTTATACTCAGAATTACAGACACTCTTGTCATTTTGCATATGCTTACAGGCCCCAGCTGCCCTACTGAACAAAAAGAAGAAAACAATTTCCAAGCACAGCTTTTGAATCAGCTAAGAAAGATTTTACTCTACCAAGTCAGGAGAAAGGATGTCTGGTATACAACTTTCTGGATAAAAGCTGCTAGTGCAGTTATTGAAACAAAGTTTTAATTATGAATATTTGAATATACTTCAATGCAAGCAGTGCTCCAGATGACTAATATGGTATGGTCATCTGGACCAAATTAAAATATTATTTAATTTTTATTATAATCCAATTTCTGCAAGAAATTATTAACAAACATTGAAATAGAATCAACAAAAAATAGATCAATAAAATTAAAATATTTTCATGTTTAAATTCATGTGATCTAAGGATAGTTATTTACTTTTTTTGCACAAGCTGCAGTAACTCACAAAACAGCAAAAATTACAAGGTGAAACATCATCATCTGATTGTAACCTGCCTGCATTTAGTCAGATGTTCAGTTCAAAGTATTTTGGCTAAAAATTACATAGGTATTAAAATCTGAAAACACCCACCCTCACATCAGCCCTAGGTGAAAAGTTTTCAGCCAAATGAAGCCCAATAAAGGTTATGGTTACAAATATTACACAAAACACTGAATGTATTAATGCATCAAAACAGAGTGCCTTCAATTTTGCTTACAACGCAAAACACATTGACTAACCTTATCTACAAAGTCACATTAAAAAAAATAGAACAATCAAAAATATATTGAAAAAAGCTTTATTTTAAGGAAAAGGTAAGCAAAAGTAATAAATCAACTACATTCTGATTCCTTTGGTTGGTGTCAGATTGTGTTTTGGTTCGTTGTGAGTTTTTTGGTTTGGGCTGAGTTCTTTGTTTTTTGATGTTGTTTTGGGTTTGTTTGTTGAGTTTTTTTACCATTTTTATATGATGCAGTCTTCAGTTTCAAGAAGAACTTTGAATGTAATGGAGTAAGTTACTGCTAGAAGCAATGACTTTCAAGAAAAGAATTTCAGTTCTGTTCAGGCCTAGAACATTTCCAAACAGAACAGAAAACCATGTGCATTAACATGGTTCCAGCACTTACCTGCTGGAACTTGCTCTGTCTTGATCTTTTTCAACTTTTTGGCTCTCTTTTTGCCATCTGGAAGGGACTCTGCACAGGAGTCTGTCTGATCATTTTCTGGATCTTGGCCTTCTCCCTCTTCCATATCATCAGAAACAGTTTCTTCCTCAATAGGACTCATGCTTCTCTTTCCCACTGTACTGGTACCTGTAAAACTGGGAGATAGAAGAAAGATGATTGTGAAAAAGTCAAGAAGAAACAGGTACATAAGTACACATTGTTGTACATCTATTAAATGCTTACGAAGGTAGAAGAATAAACTGTACTAAGTGGTGTACCATGAAATTGCAGTATCTGAAAGATTTGGCCTAACTATAAAATTCCTCAAATTTGCTATCTAATCTGATCTTCTGTAGATCAAGATATTAATTTCTGTACTACTGATGTCTCAGACTTAGCTGCTATTCTGATGAGATCACTCATCTGAAATGTAATTAAATCAGTTCTCTATCCCTGCACAGTTTTACATTTTATTCTCATAGTTATGCAAGCCCTTTAAAGCACTGTCAATAGACAGCAAATCATGCACAACTGAAGCCTCAAAACCACATCTTGAAATTGAAGGAGTCTACATGCTCACTTCACCTCTCTCCTGGAACTACAGGTAGTTTTAAAAGCATTTATATATAAAGGTAGAGGAAAACATCAGGCTCCACATATAAAATTTAAATCTGGCTTTCAAGTGCAGAGCCCTGTTATTCATGGGACCCGTAAAATAAAGAGCACAAGAAATTGCACACTCATTTCATTAGCAGCATTTGAATGAAGTCTGACTAACAGAGTATAAAGATAACTCAGAGCCCCACTCCATTCAGCACACACTGAAATAACCTTGTGTAGGCTTTTGTTCCACTGCAATGCTATTGTTAAATTTCCTTAAAAGACAACTGACAGTATTAAAATCAAATTAGCATGAGTATAAAACAGAACGAGGTAGCAAAGGGGCTAATTAAAAAACAATTCCCATTAGGAACTTCTAGATATGTAAACACCAGCTACTTAAATGTCTAATATAATTCTTTTAGAACAACCAATTTTAAAAAGGGCAGTTTTAGATTTATGAACTTTTATTTTTTAATTAGAACTACACAACATGGCTGTATGCATCTAAGCCATGTTCTATTCTGTGAGTTAAATATATATTAATACTAAGTTATAAAACAAAGCTTTACAAGGTATTTTTTTCTTTTTAATCAACAGCAGTGAATTGCACTGTTTCAGTAAGGTTTCAGCTAAAGGAAGAACTGTTAAATTTTGCAGTATACTTTTGGCTTTGAAATGGAATTTTTTCAGCTGAACATTTTGCAACTTAAAACAGAGACTGTCTGGGATGTCCAAAGGCAATAAACAAAGATGAAACATATGATTACATCTCATGCTCTTACATCCACTTTAGGAGCACAAACACCATTTACTTTGATGAATAGCTGGTTTTTCCTCCAAACATTCACACACAGAAGGCCTTCTTGCATGATTTCTTACAAATCATCATTTTGAGTCATACCATAACCACCACCAATAAAAAGCTGGATAGAACTGTTAATCCTATGTACACACTTCAGGATTGCAAAACAGGCAAAAAACTAGGGCTGGAAAGAAAAAAATCTAGGGAAGAAGTAGCATTAGGAAAAACTAGTATTTTTTTAAAATACAGTTTAGAAAAGGTTGTAAGAATTCTACTTTGGGGAAAGCCATTCTGAAAAATACATTAGGAAGAAAAAACTCAGGAACCATAAATTATGATCCCAGTATTTCTTCAGCACTTGGCTCTCAGAAGGGAACTTCCACTCACTCGAGGAAGAAGATCCCTTCTGGAATGGTCCTATGGCTGAATTTAATTTTTTCCAACATAAGACTCCTGTGAAGTTATTGCAAATAAAGAGAAACAAATTCTTGACCTTCAGTGCACATTTAGCTGCATACCAAAGAACAACATAAAAATTAATTTTAGGCCTTATGGGCCTCCTGCAGATACTTTATGGGGAAAAAAAAAAGCCCACCACCAAAAAGTGGCAGCACAAAATACAAAATAAACATATTTTATAATGAAGAACCATTGTCTTCCTTTCTCCCAAATAATTTTATTTGCTATTCATTCATTGACTGCATGGCTTCTGGAGGGGAAAGGGTTAATTGTTTTATGTCTTGTTCTTCTTTAACCTTAAATAAGATTTAAGATTACAGCAACATTATTTATGTACCAAGCAGTAAATGAGTATGGTTGCATACACAAGTTAGAGCACTACTCAAAGTGCAGTTTTCTACTTATAACAGTTATTTTGGACACGTCCACATATCTGCCTCAACTTCTTCATTCAGCTGACAAACAACTGAACAAAGTTAAAGACTGAACACAATAATTACTTTCAGTCGTTGCCCAATGCAGACAGACTTTTATGATCCTTATGGCCATTTAGAGACAGAGATTTACCCCATCCTCTAACCATGCAACACTCAGGGTTCAAAATACACCTCTACAACAGCTATCCAGGCAATAACTCATTTTATTTTCTAAAGAATATATTATCAGATGTACTAAATAACAGCAATCCAATTATCACTATGGTAATTAAATTGAAATAATCAGCACATGGAGGGGAGCAAAAAGTAGGAAAACAATTATGATGATGTAGATTTAACATTTTCTGCTTTGGAAAAGCATGTCTGATTTTTCAAAGAAACACTTCATCACAACAAGGTATTTGTAACTGGCTTGGATATATGAAGACCTACAATTTCAAATAAATTTCATTTGCACAAAACTAAGTTCTCTTGACACTTGAAACAACATTGAGGGGTGGGAGTAGATACTGATCCATCATAAAAATCAGTCATTTCAACTGAAGAGCAGGTGAATTCACCTAAAATAACAATACAAGCAGGAACACTATAATAATTTACTTGCAATATTTGTTATCTATACCCTTAATACCTCAGCTTTTGCAATTCCTATTCTTTAGGGGGTAAAAAACCACTGTAAACAACCATTTCTGTAATAAACCAAAAGAATCATCATCAATAAACCAAGTAGAAACACTTGCACATTTCAAGAATTAGCTATCTTTGGCAAAATGAAGGCATTCAAGGAAGTGGTGCTACAAACAGCCCCCTGACTTGACAGAAGATGCAGCACTCACAGTTTTAGGTAGAATATTGTATCCTTTCCTTGTACTTCATACACTGTCTTTTGGCATTGCCCTTACTCTTCTTTACTCTTTCCAGATGATGATCAGGAGAATAAGTAAGTACAAATAGAGCAGGGCACCTAGTTTTCCATAGAGCAAACCCTATTTGACTTTTCCTGCTATGGTTTAACACTGTTTTTGCTAAGGAAAAGCTCTTAAAGCCATGCATGTAACAGTCATGGCAGAGCTGGCAGGCAGTCCTTTGCTAAGCACAACACAGCCAGTTCCATCTGTTTCCTATGTGGGCTCTGAATAGCAACAGATCTGGACAAGGGGATCTTATTTAGTACTTGAAGTTTTGTCAAATGCAACACTTTTTCATCTACTTCTCCATCTAACATTCATAATTAGGCATATTTCCATTGAAATCAATTTTTATATTTAAGGGTAGTATTAAGTTATATGCAAGGGATACATATTAATTATAAATTATTTTACCTTGTGACAGCTATTAACACTATTAAACTTTATTTTCTGAAGAGAAATTCCTCTACAATATAGAACTACAGTTTTATCAACAAGATAAGAATTAAAGAACCTTTGTTACATATTTATCAATCTATCAATTTAAGACAAAAGTTCCTTACAAGAAGTACTCAACAACTTCCTTACTGAATGAAAAAGTAACCAGGACACATTGTCATCATGGAGACAAACTGCTATCCTGCAGCTGTGCTCCTTGGCAGAAGCTGATGCAGCAAGCTCATTAAATAATAAATAAATAAAGGATGCAGTAACATGAAGCTATTATAAGGGATCAGCTGCTGGATACATCACAGTGCTGAGTGCTCAGCTAGATATGACTTCAACTAATCTGGACAAATATACATGCACACATACATATTTGTCCCAATTGTTTATATAAACACTGATACTATATTTTATATTAAAATTATTGTATATAATAGATAAAATAGAAAGATTTTATATATCTTTAGATAGAAATATTTTTATATACCTTCTGGAAAATAAAGAGTTCATCTTGAGTGAAATCAAAGATCATGGTTTGCAGTTCCACGTTCTATCTAAACAGGTTATACTTCAGGGGAAGCATTTACAAAATATAAATTGACAAAAGAATTAAATATAACTAGTAAAAAATAAAACAAAATGAAGAAAAACATGTCAAAAGACCTGCATGAGAGGCAACGTGGGACAGAACCAAATCACTTTATTAATGGAATAATAAGAGAACAAAAAAATATGTAACATCAATTATAAGAGATCTGTCAACAAAATAAAGGCTGCTTTCCAAGGCTATCAAGTTGTTGAACATGTGAAAACGAAAAGCTACTTCTTGTAGAATTTTACAACACTAGGTGAAAAAAAGGTATTAAAAAATTTCAAGGAGAGTAAGTGCTTAGACAGACAACTCACTGGGGTATGTCAAACTTTTAGGGAAAGAATTTACTGAAAATTTTGTTCAGCAATTTTCCAAATGACACATTTGTGGTGGATCTTAAACTTCTTTGCAAGACAACAGCAAATCAGCTTTCTGCATTTCCTGTTCTTCATGAGCTGCCATCATTACCGTCTGCCTGCAACCTGTGAGGTACCCAAACCCCAGCACTCATTGACAGGAGACACTTCCTCTGGCAGAAACAAAACTAGAACTCAGTGTTTCTTTGCAGCAAACTCAAGGTGTAGTAAGTATTTCCAGACTATTTAATAGTCCACCACCTTAGAGCTAAGCCTTAGCCACGTGCAGGCTGGTGCCAGGAGAATCCTTACAGCTCCTCAGCTCCCCACAGCATGGACTCCCCAGGATCCCTGAGTACAACAGTTCCATTAAACTAACTTCATTTGATATGGATTGTATCATCATCCCTCCATATGTTTTTTTGAATCAAACATGTCTATAACACATTTAGAATTCCCAGCATGACAAAAGCCATGAACATCTGACAGCTTGCCAAAATACACACCTGCAAAATTATAAGGTCATGAAAAGAACAGAACAATTTTAGTGCATTTGTTACTCAACAGATTAACATTTACAGGAAGATGTAATGAGAACTAGAACTTAATGTAGCATTCCAAGAAAGATAAAGCAGAAATACCTCAGCACTGGTTTTATGACCACCAAATTTGGTTTGTGTTACCACAGGGCAGGGCAGGGAGGAGAAGGAGACAAAATCCCCCAAAAACAAACCAAAACATCTGCTTAGAGAAGTGTAACTCACACACTCCATTCAAACTCATTCTCATGCACAATTCATAGAACTGGTGGGACAGTGCTGGAGAAGGGAGGGGGAAGAATGGCAAATACTTGATAAGTTATTTATACAATTATATTAACACTAAAATTCTCTTCACATGCTCAGCTACACAGATGACTGAGAAAGAAGCTGCCTGTTACCATCATATCCAAAACCTGTCATTAATATCAGCAGATAAATACGGAACAAGAAATACACACAGCAACACAGGGAACATACTGTACCAGAACCAAAAGCATCATGTCCTAACTTAATTTTGTCCTTAAATAATGAACTAAAGCCCTTTTTAAGCTTTATACTAAAAGCTTAAAGCCATGCAAGTATTATCATTTGCCATTCTATTTCTGAAGCACAAGGACAACTTCATCAGGACTGCTCTAGAAGAGAATTTATACCATTCTTTGTGGCACTGTTATCACCATGGAAAGTCAGCCCAAAACCAACATGGTCTTTAAAAGATGCATGATGACAACTAAGTGTCCACATGACACAAGCCATTCACAAGTGTCATATGACTAAAGAAAATAATTTTGAAATTTTGGTTATAAGAAATTATGCAGCTACATCAAGCTCAGAAGCTGTGATGTGACCTGCCCTCAAGATCCCAGCATTTAAAAGTCTGTCTGATCACATTTATGATGAAATTCCCTCAGTTCCTTTACCTATTGTCTTGTGACAGCTGATGTACCACTGCCGATTTATATGCAAAGAAATACACACAGAAAAAATGTCCTGGATTAATTAAGAACTACCTGAAAATTGTTATATTTTGGACAGAAATGCAGTAAGAACACGAGCTGGCAGCACAGACATCTCACCTGTTAACACAGTAGTACCGACTCTGGGAAATGTAAGGTGTGCACTGGGTTTTTAACCTCTTCCTCTCCATCTCCTTCCAACTATCTTCTGTACATTTTCTCTTGGCCTGTTTTTCTTCATGTTTTCTCTCCACATATTCTGCATATGTCTGGATCCTATAACTTTCGGCATACCGGCTGGTGTTTACAGCTATGGAGGAGGAGAATGATATTATATACAAAACACTTAAATGACAGCATGCCCTCTACTGAAATAGCTTATTTGGAAAAGCAGAAGGCTGCAAGCTATTTGTTCTGTTCATAAAACAATTTCTAGATCCATTGTTAGCAATTAAAAAAACAAAACAAAACAAACCCAAAATGCCATATTCTCTAGAAGTCACAATGTCTGAACTAGATGCTCAAAGCTCTTCTCAAAGTCAGACTTTGTGCAAAAAGAGTTAAATCTACTTAAGACATTTCTTTTAAATTAGAAACTATCAATTCTTCAGTCGTAACTCTCTTCCAGATTGCTTGCTGGCAAGAAAAGATTTCCTGGATTTTTTCCCTTTTAGTCTCATTACTTAACCCAGCAGGTTTATTTTGCAAGTCTGCCAGGAAAAGACGACATTTGCAAAGCCTTTGCCAAAACTCTGTTTGATTGCTGTGAAACATAAGCTTATTTGAGCTGCATTTTTGGTTGCACATGATATCCATGGAAGAAGCACTTAACTAACAGCCAGCTGTTCCATCCTTGTATCTTTCTAATGTCTGATCTCCCTTTAACCAAAAACCACTTCGAGTTCAAGGTAGAAAGATTTCTGTCAATGCAAAATTAGAAGCACTTTAAAACTACAGAAAAAAACTTTCACTGCCTCCACTCAGTAACAATTTAACAACATTCCTTCAAGCCCCAGCATCTTCACAGCTCTCAGCCTTTAGTCTGCGAGCCAAGCTCTGGCCTGACGCCATCCCTGTAACAGATGAATCAGCAAATTAAACTGACTGTCAACTGGTGTCTTCTGCTGCTTTCAGCCTAGCTCTCTGAAAGAAAGTATTGTAAACCAAGCAGTAAACCAGTTTAAATGCAAACAAAACACAACAACCCCCCCTCCCCAGCCTCAGACTGTTTTTCTGCAAATTTTAAAATACTGCAATTGTAGTGGAGACAAAAATTCTGATTTTATTAAGTACTTCCAATTTTTTAGAGCCATTTCAGATGCATATCCCACTTTGGGATTCTAGCTGAGCTGTTATAAATACATGTTATTCTGTGCTACCTCTGGTGCAAGCACTAGAGATGGCAAGCTCCAACACCAAATTTCAGAAAGGAGAGGAAGATGGGTGGATGTGGTTTTTTCTCCTCTTTCAGGACAGAGCATCCATTCTGTATATTTGCTGTGTAACAGTGAAATAGATTTCTATAATACCTGCCATGGTTTATAGATCCTGCTGTTGCAACATACATGAGACCAGGCAGGAGTGTTGACTATTTAATTTTAATCCCACGTACAGACAGCAGTAGTTCTGATCAACAGCCCCATGAGATAGTTGCACTATCCAACAAGTGTCAGACATACCTCCTTTCATCCCCCTTGTATTTGTTTTGAACTGCAAAGTTACAGGATCTGCTTCTAAGAATTAGGACAATATTTACTGCCCATGAAGTTATGGGGCAGGCATCATGAATGAATTAATAAGGCTCACTGGAGTTTACTGCATGCCAGCCAACATTCCTTGGGGGAAAATTTGTTTAGTTAAACTCAAGCATGTTTTTACTTGCTAAAATCAAGCACAAAGTTACCATGGATCATCTGATACATACTCATTTGTTAAAACACAATAACATTATTTGTTTTGCTACAAGATATGAGCCAAAGTTATGGGTCTGCCATTTAATTCCTTGATAAACTCAGGCCTTTCTCAAGGAAGAAAAACAAATCATTTGAGGCCTAAATATAATTCTAAAAGAAATCTGTGCAAGAGTCAGTATTTTTGTACAAAGTCAAGTCTACTTTCTTGAAATAATGCATGTATTTTACAGCAATCCATTCATATGGCACATACACACACAAATATATGTATATACATATATAGCATATATATTCAATATAAAATGTTACATGCTGAATATTTTGCTTCATCATTGAAAAACTGAAATGAAGCCATAGGGAGAAGTCTAAGGGGCCACAGAGATAAAACAATCTTGCATGGGCTTGAATTGAAGAGCAGCTCCTCTGATGCTTTTTTGATGGATGCTGTCCATATTGCCAACAAAGCAAATACAGTTAGGTTGTTCTGCACTCCCAAGAGAAGAAATGCACTGCTAGAATGCTCTGTGAATTCTAAAAAACTAAAGAGAACTCAGGGGGGCTATTTATTTATTTCTTTACATTTTAAGAGATGAGACAAACCTTCCTGTGACAAACTTGACCTAGTACCAACACCATGTGGCTGCACTTCACATTAACTGCAGCCCCAAAATTTCTGTCTCATAGCAGAATAACAGTAACTGCAAATTATTTTAGGAAAAGCATTTCTAGAGGATGGCACCTTCCCTCGTTACTAGGGAAGGCATCAAACAGGCTGACTGTCATTGAGTGGTCCAAGAGGAATTTTTACAAAGATACCTTTTTGTCAAGTCCTTGCTTTTATGCAGAGCAACATCCTGACAGATGGCCACTGATAATATTAAGCCTCTTAATAAAAAGACAAATATGTTGGTGAACCATGTAGGTAAAAGAAAAGCCACAATATATAAATACAATAAACACACAGAGCTCTACAGATTAAGGCTGCAATGCTAAACACTTAAGCTTATGAAATACTTCAGTAAAATGTCACCTGTGAAGCCTTTAAGCGACCTCTGTATGGATGCTGCATTAACCTTATCTGACCATGTTCTCCTTAAACATGGGAGCTCTGCCTCGGCCACAGCAACAGTGTGCAATTAGGAGTAGCTAAGGCAGTATTTTGTTTTACTCTCAATACTCACCATATGGTTCCACAGCCTTATTTATTGACTACTAGGGCTATTCATGCCACATGTAACACTCCAGAAGTTTGCCATGATGACAAAAGTGCACATGCATAGTCCAGTATTTCAAAGTAAAACTCAGGAGTGGAAGCAGCAGTGCTGTGTGCCTATTTTATCAACAGAAAGCAGAAGACTCAACATTCCAAATCAGAGGGCATCTTTTAAATTAACCTAAATGGAATTAAATTGTCCCCTACACAACATTCAGGGCAGAGCTCTTCCACAGCAAATGTACAAACTTACTCCCGGAGAAGCCATAAATCCTAAAGAAACATGTACATGATGATGTAACCATGGACATTGCCAAGGTGTAAGCAGAATTCAACTATATTTTGTTAAATATTAGTGAAATTTTCAATGTAACATGAATGGCCCTTTTTGTTAACCTAAATACAGTTTTCAGTCTTTCAAGCATACCTGGACAGTTTCTGCTGCAAGGCATTAAAATGTTAACACAAGTGACTAATTAGCTGATCAGAGTATCTTAAGTATATTTGATAAGAGCAACTATCTGCAGGCTGTACCCAAACTGGTAACACCAATTTGTACATGGTGCTGCCCATCCCTTTGTTTTCCTCTTCTGCATCAGCTTAAGACAGAAAGTGCCTATACAGATTCTAAATAGCAGCTCAAAGTCAGAAACTTCTTCAAGAGATAAGCATAGAAGTACACCCATAGCAACATCTTGCCTTGTATTCATATTGTTTCACAGTCCTCCAAGGCTTTTTACAAAGTCCAGAAGATGCAGACATTTATAGGAACAGGTTTAAAACCAGGCCACATTACAATTATTCCTAGGTTCTCCACTTAAGCATATCTCACTAAATCACAAGTAGTAACAGTGACTTTTGTTACCAAAACAATTCATTAAAGAATTTAAGATAGGGAATAGAATAACAGAATTGATTTTAAAATGCATTTATTACAGAAAAAAAAAAAAACCAAAAAAAACCCCCAAAAAAACAAACAGGTCCCAAACCAACGAAATACCAAGAATTTTAAGCAATTTTACAGTACAAATCACACAATTTTTGGTAATTGAGGTTACTTTAATTTATCAGCTTTGTTGACTCACTGCTTTCATTATATGAATATCTACTAACCCGATTTAATGAAAATCTATGAAAGACTATAATCACCTGTGCTTTCAAACAAATAACATTTCCCAGCATGTAGGCCACAGAACAAGCCTCCTGCTTGTCAAAGCACAAAAAAAAGACACAGAGCAGTGCCAGAAAGATTCAATTTCAATAATTCAGTTCTTTCCAAAATATGTACTTACTATAACCAAAACACAACAAAAAAACCAAAACCAAACCTAAGAACAACAACTACAAAAAGTAGTGGTGACAATGTATATGCCAAGCATTTACACAATGGATAAGTGCCTGAGGAGCAGTGGGGAATTTACTGCAGCAGCATCTAGGAAGGCTTTAATTGACATAATTCTTTATCTGGAACTTCTCATAGAAGTTATTTCATTCTTATATCTATATATGGATGAAGAAACAATGGCTCTTGCTCTTATGGAGCAATTGCTCTGCACAGCTATGAATGCATGAGGAAGTATGAAAAACACTCCCAGGATGCATTGATTGTACATCCAGACCCTGAAAGCTTATTTAGTTGAGCATAGTAAGGATAGATGAGGTAAACTCAGTGGGGTTTTCTAATCGGTTTTATTTCTTTTTTTAATTGTGGGAATTCTGTCTGAATAGCTCTTAAGTGGAACAAAATTTTAGCCAGTTAATCAGAAATGTTACATATACTGCTGCTCTCACTGGCCCCACAGCATTTGATGAAAGCATTTCAGTAAATGGGAGTGACATTACCCAACATATCCCAAATGACCATCTATAATGGCCTTAAATTCCAGCCATTGTTCCCTGAAGTAAGGTTATGGGTCAGAACTCAAATAAATGCCCAAAACAACTAGAGAAACCACTAAGAGCTTCTGGATTCCACTACAGTCAATCAAAAATCTTTAAAAAACTCCACCCCAAAGCCACCTCCAAAACAACATAAAATCCCCAAACCACAAACAAACCCAACATAAAACCCAACACACCAAGGAGACTGTTTTCCCACAAAACTAACAGCAATATTTTCAAATGTTCAAATAAAAATTTACAAACTTATGTCTGGAGAGACTGCACATTGTTCATACACAGACTGTAGGCACATTAGCAGTCCAGGCTCTTTGGACACTCTTATTTTGCATGTGCTCTACAATAGCACCAAAAGGCTTCTCACTGCATTTATTCCTTGTAAATGTAAACCCAACCAAATGTGCATCAGTCCAAAGGGTACTTGGAGGTTAAAACCACAAAAGTCTTTGACAGGTATACCCTATGCAAAGGTAACAGTAAATAGCCTCAATAAATACTGTACCAAGTGAAGAAACCAGCACTATTCTACATACAGGTTTAGGTACTGGGAGAGTCATGGAATGAAACACAAAACTCTCAAGCAAGTCCAGTTTGAGCTTGTCTTTGCTGCCACACTTGTGCTGCTGTATGGAAGTCCAGTTCCTCCAAGCAAGTCAGTGGTTTTGCCATTAGAATCACAGACTCAGAGCATTTTGCAGGACCCAGTTAAAGTCTTAATGCTGAAGTAAGCCCAACACTCACCTATTTGTACTTGCTCTGGCTGGCTCAGTGAGACAAATGCTGATGTATCATCAATCCACGAAACCTGAATGTTACCTAGAAAAGCAAAAGAAATTTTTATGACTATTTTTATTTTAGACTCAGTCACAGACTTTTATCTGGTATGACATGACATGACATAAAAAAGCCAACTAAGAGTAACTGCACTTGAGAAGGCTTTTGTGCACTGTACAGGTGTGTAGTTCATACCCAGTTGCACAAGAGCCTGGAACTGCTCAGAAAGTCAGGGCAGCATGAGCATCCTGTACATCCCAGACCCTCACATCCGCCCTTCATGGCTTCTACATGAGTCTACAAAATAAACTGAAGTGATTATCTGGGAATTTCAGCCCTTTACTTAAATAAATAACAGCTCTTTGAGTGATGATAAATTCCAGTTTGAAAGGGGTAGGTAGAGGATTGATCACACCAAGGGAGAACTCCACTGTTGAGATACTAAATTTTCACACTCTGATTTGTTTGAATCCCACTATACATAATTTCCTGGATGTGAACTAAAAACTTAATTTGAGTCAATATGAGGACAAATGCACAAAATCTGGACCTCATTTGGAAGCTGTTACAATGGAACAGTGACTGGAAATAAGTCCCCCTATTCATCAAGCAGTTAGTGCATTTTCTATGTGAATGGCTTAAAATGTCACATTAGCACTAAAAGAGCTCATAATCAAGCAAAAATCAAGAGGAAAGGATTCCCATTCCAGACACAAGGTCTTATTATAGTCTGAAATCCATTTACATCTCCTGTGCTTACCTCTCCTGTCCTTATCTAAGTGCTTTACTGTTAGTACAATTCAGATATTGAAAACTGGTGCCATTTTTTTCACGTAGACTAGAAAATCAAGTTATATATAATGTTACACCACCATTTAACCTTCAGACATTACAAGGTTAAAAACAACGATGCAAAATGGCTAAAATACATTTATTCTCAGTTGTTTAATCTATTGAAATCTAATTTAGTCTACGGGTTACAAGGTTATAGAAATCTCTTCTGAAATCCAGCCAGATTATAAACAGATTTTCTAATTATAAAAAAATAAAAGCCTAGATAGATTTCATTCGCATGCTATACATTTGAGTAGCCAGCTATTTAGGAGTTTAAGTTATAATCATTTTGATTATTGCCAAAACCATAATTAATTCAGTATGGTTTCTGACATCTCCCTGTACTGAAGGGCTAAGGTTGCTATTAAGATTAGCCTACACCATGAAGTTAGAATTTCTTTAAACATATTTCAGGGCACATAAATTCAATTTCTAATAATTTTGCCTTTGAAGAACACAGAACTCTGCTGCCTATGGGTAAGTCTCTTTGGTGTAGGGAGAACATCCTTTTGGCAGGACATTAACATTTCCCAACACAAGCAAGGCCTGAGCTGTGACTGCAGCTCAGAACTGCAGTGCAATTTGGCAGGACCCCAACATGGAGTTTCCTTTAAAGGACAGAAATTACTGTACAAATTCATATTGCTCTATATGCATTGCTAAGTCTTTGCTCTAAAATTATTTGTGTATAAAGTTCTCAAATTTTGTATTACTAATTACAAAATTTTCTAAACAATCATTTCAGACATCTGAACCCATATTCTGTTGTAACTCTGGAACACAGAAATGCTGTCCATATAGTGTCCTCTTCCTATATATACAGTTTACTAATTTCAAGCTACCTGAGCAGACTGAAAGACAGATCAGAAAGAAAAATTCTCCTGAATACCTTGCAATTATGCCCTCAGTATAAAATAGGATCAGCAACCGACAAAAAATAAATTCCTAAAGGAATTCAGCTATTATTCAGATGGACTTCAGAATCCAGATTTTCACTAAGTGCCAAATAAAAATAAATTAATAAAAATCCAACCTATTGGTGGCACATAATTTCAGTATCAGATCCTTATTTATTGTTGCAGAAAGGCTGATGCATTCCATATGACTTCTGACTTTGTATTTTTAGGTAATAAAGGGTTTCAACACCTGCCAACATATCTTGCTTTTATACTCAGATTTATACATTTTAAATACAGAATTTAAAGAAAGTCAAACATTAAATAGCAGACACTGAGTTCCAATCTGAAGAAACCTGCAACAAATGCTCTTATGCAACTCTCCATGCTTTAGAAATGCTCTCTTCAGACTGCCACATTTCATCATTATTAAGAAGTAAGAATTTAAGAAAGATAAGATTAATAAATTAAATCATTCAGCAATACTGCTAAGCACTCGGTAAATATTGTGCATTTCAGAAGTATGGTGAAATGCAAATAAAGATCTGGAAAGCAAATGCAGCTGCAGTACAATATTTAGCAATCACCAGAGCCCTGCGCCAGCTCACTGCAAGGCCAGTGCAGATAAGCCACGTGCAGATAAGCCATGGACAGCAATGTAATGGAACACCAGCTCTAGAGAAATAAATCAGGAAATCTCTCTCTCTGCACATCAAGTCTTCAATACTTTGAAGAATGCCACTGGTGGTGGCACTGGTGGACTACGACATGAAGGTGCAAGTGAAATGTATTTCTTCCATAAAGAAATTTGAAAATTCTCCACATATTAGATCAAACATGCAAACTAGATAAAGTCCACAGAATAAATTCATACTGATGGATTACATCATTGAAACATTTTCTTTTTTATACTCTGTTCTTGTACATCTCCTACATGATTTCTACTGGCAATTATGCAGTAGTTTTTATAATACTTCAATAGTACGAGTTTTAATCAAAAGCCCAAAGACATTAATTTAAGTAGAACTTAAAGCTATACACCAAAGCTGTATTCCAGCACATCCTGTTTTAATGACTTCCTATTTCACATCAGCATGACCAAATAAACAAAGCAAATTTAAGAATCTAAAGTCTTCTAAGAGACTGCATAGTGCTGCAAGTACTGGTACAGTAAAACTACATTCACCTCTGAGACTATAAAAACATCTTGCATGAACAGGTGTCCACTTGGTATGCAGGCAGTCCTGAAGGATTTCAGAATCATGAACACCCCTTCTAGAGTAGCAAATGTAAACCAGTTCCAAGTGCGACACTGCAGCCCTTTCAGCTGTTTCACCATATTTTGTTAGAAGCTCCATGGAAGATTATAACTCTGTTTGAATTCATTCTAAAATAATTTTTCTGTAAAATTCGACTAATACTGCTTGATTTCAAGGCACTTTGCTGTAACTGATGTAATACCTTAGGATAATTCATGTCTGCTACTGCCTTTTTTTGTGTAGCTTTTGGCAAATCACTCAACCTCACGCTGTGCCACTCTGCCCCTATCCACCTACAACTGGAAAACCATGGGTACTTCTGTATTCCAGAATTTCGGAAGGAATAATCTGCAGGGTTTTTTGAAATACCACGGCAAAAAGACTTTTAAAAATATAGATTAATTACAAACCTGGAGCTTGTAAATGGAAATATGAAAACATTCAGATCTAAAATCTGGAGAGGTGCGGGAATCGGCAACTCCCAAAGCGAGCCTAGAGCGGTGTATGAGCGCGCCCCCTAGCGGCCGTGCCCGTCCCACGTAGGGAAGCGGCGGCGCTGAGGGGCACAAAGCGCCGGGAGCCGAGGGGGGGAAACCGGGAGCCGAGGGGCACAAAGCGCCGGGAGCCGAGGGGCACAAAGCGGGAACCGAGGGGCACAAAGCGCCGGGAGCCGAGGGGCACAAAGCGGGAACCGAGGGGCACAAAGCGCCGGGAGCCGAGGGGGGGAAACCGGGAACCGAGGGGCACAAAGCGCCGGGAGCCGAGGGGCACAAAGCGCCGGGAGCCGAGGGGCACAAAGCGCGCTCCTCACCCCGAAGAGCAGCTCCGCGAGAATCCTGCCATTTCTACATTCTCGCGGAGCTGCTGTTCATTCTCTACATTCTCTCTCCTACATCTCCCACTCGGGGCTATTAAATCCTAACCACTCCGCTGACCCCTGCTGCAGTGAAGATCGAATGCTCACAAGGAACAGAGAGAGCTGGATGCAGCTCCAGAGACCCTGCACAGGCAGAATACCAAGCACAAGAGATAAGGTCTCTTCTTCCACATCATCTATTAGCTCAGCTGTCCACGTACCTACATTTCATACTTGGACTTAGTAGAGCAACAACAGGACTACCGGTCCAGTTATTAACTACCCTTTTTGCTGTTTCTTCTCAATTGGATGGTTCACAATCTGGAAATCAACCTGGTTATTTTCAAGCTTAATTGCTTGCCTAGACTCACATGCTTTACACTGGCTGCAGGATGAACCTTGTTCCTAAAGCCTCCATCTGTCCCATACCAATCCCCATTCTGTTTTTACACCTATATAAACTCTTACTTCCCATCATGAGAAGCTGTAAATAAAAGGATTAAAGGTCCACAATATTCAACAAGCACCAAAATAAAGATTTCTAAAGAGCAGTTAATAAGAACAGTAATTTTCAACACATCATTACAAAGTCCACAGGACATCACATTCAAACATTACAAGAAGAGATTCATCGTTACCTATGCTAGGAATAAGTCTGCACCCACAGACTAAAAAACCGTAAGTTTACCTTATTAATAATAACAATCAAAAAACCAAACAAATAAAAAAAACAAACCCCAAAACAACCACCACCACCACCAAGAAGACAGACTGTATCACTCACCAAAGGCACTAAAAAGCTGGTATAGGTCACTAGTCTTCCACTCTTTGGGAAAAGTAACATGAAGAACATGATCTCGTTTGGGCTGCACTACAAAACAAAAATGTTTTTGTTAAAATAAGAGTCACTGCTTGTATCTTTAGAATATCCTAAAACTGTCATCTAATGTGGTTATGTGGTTTCTTCTTCCCTTTCCTTTTTATCTTGCGCAGCAACTTCATTCTTTTAAATGAGTTTTTAACACACATTTTAACAAGAGATTATGAAAGTCACATTCACATATTCAATACTATTTAACTTAACACGTTACTGAAATCCATTATTTAAGGAAAAATTGCACAAACTTGCTATTTCACTATGTGGCAAACAGAAACAAACAAATTACAACAGTCACCTAGTCAGCTGTGCCTCATCCCTTTTTTAAAAATGCAGACCCCAAGTGCACCTCCCACAGAAACCTGGCTGTACTCTTCAGGTGGCTTTGCTTCTCTGCAAGCAACCACCAGACTGCTTCCTGAACCCACAGTGGGGTTTACATCTCAGAACAGCAACTGAAGTGGCTAAACCAGCCAGCCCAAGGTGCCACCCCTGCAATACTTTCTGTTTAGAGCCTTAGAGAGCCTCCTTGGCTCAGGTTCTCCTAGAATATCTGCATCAGTCTGTTCTACAGGAGTGGCTTTCAGATAAAAGAGACAGACTTTCAGAGGCAGACTCTTTTTTGGCAACCCTTCTTGGCAAAGTATCAAAACAATCCTGTAAGTTGGCCAGCAAGTGGAAGTAGCATCTTTACAAATTAGTAGCTTTGGCACTCTCTCAATGACCCACAGTATTTACCCATTCTTCCACTCAGTATCAAACAGTTGGGGAAGGAAGATGCAATGTAATTAGATTACCATTCCAGCAGAGCCAGAGCTCAGTGATCTGACCACCTAACTGAATTTAAAATTAAATTTATGCCCTTACAGCATGTACTTTCCAACAGTTACTTGCATCTCCCTAGAACTGCATTCTGTTACTATTACACTGGCATCTAATAGAGCCACACTCCAGTCTGAGCTTTCCAATGCAAGGAGTGGAAAATGTCTCCACATCAGTACTGCTTCCAAATGGGTGTAATTTTCAAGACACTGTGTATCTGACTCCTCAATATAAAATTAAGCATTTATCTAATCAAGGACCAGACAGACTTCCAGGGCTTCACACTTTATTAAGTCAAGGCATCAGTGGGAACTCTCATCCAAAGTTTTCCCCCTCATCATGAAACATCCCGTAACAGTAAGGACATTTACAGTAGTAGAATCTAGTTTAATTTAAATATATTATCAATTAATTACAGCTCCAGGTCTGTAAACTGAAATAACCAGAAAGGTAAAAATGCTTTAAGTCATATTTTTCCATTATCATAATCCCATGTGGCAAAAGAATCCTGATGTTCAGGCTGAAGGTAAGGAGAGGTACTACTGCACAGCAACTGAGAAACAAAGTGGCCACAAGATTTCAGAACCATTTGCTACTCAATAGTTTGTATTCTGTATTTACTGCTGGGGTAAGGGGACAGTGTGAAGATCCCACTTTTTTGTGATATGGTACATAAGAATAGTACCCCAAAATAACAATAAAGCTGTTCATTTCAAACTCTCCCATTTAGTTACAGTAACTTAATTTGTTCTCTTCAGCCCCCTTTATAATGCAGATTCTCTGGTCAAAGTTGAAGAATTTCTGGGTTTAGTATTTTGTTAAAGGAAAACAAGGAAGCAGACACATTTAAATCATTTCATAAGTAGCTAATAACCTAAACACAGCTAATAGATATGCTGATATCCTTGCTTTAGATATACATAATTAATCTTTCACTTCCTTCTCCAGGAAGTGTGTCAGAATGGTACTACTTTTCCAATGAGAGAAGCTACTTACAGTCTGGTCCTTCCAAATTGAGATATGGTATGTCCATTACTCTCATAAGAAATAGCCTAGAAGCAATATGGAAAAGAATCGTTAGCAAATTTCTGCCTGAAGACCTCTTCCTTTTTATAGTTTTTCTACATGTTTCTTCTAAAGAAGCAGAATAACCATCCCAAACTCATTCTAAGGTATGTTAAAGCAAAACAGACCCTCTAAGCCCAATCTCTTATCTAAGAGTGAGAACTTGCACCAGTTGTGCCACCTAATTTATCCTCTGAGTGTCAGCAAAAGGGGGAGGTTTTATTAAAAAAATAAAAAGGTAGGTTTGTTTTAAGCCGAGTTATAATCTGAAACAAACTTTTGCCAAGTTTTTGGGATGTACTGATTTTTAAAGCACTCAAATAGTAAGTTTAGTAGGTTTTCACAAAAAAATAAAGATGAAATCTACTTAAAATACAAAAAAAACTCCTGGGGAGAAAACTACTTAAGCTCCCCTGCCCCAGGGTTTATCATATTGAGGAAAGCAATACAGTGGCCAACTGCGAGAACACACTACTGACAAAAAAATACATTTACCTGAAATTAATTAGGATCAGGTTTTTATTCCCTGAGACAAATCCTACATTTATTTGTTTGGCCAAACAATTATGTCACTAAACAGCACACACACACACCCCTATACTCCCTGTAGCCTAAATAGTGATTTTAGTATTAAGTGCACTTCAGGTGTGTAACTGAAGTAACTGCAGCTTGCAGCACTAACTTACACCACATGGATTATGAACACTGAGCTCCAACATAATCCATAATTAAGTATCCATAACTGTGGTTCTAGGATTCCTCATCTAACTGCAGAACATTTAAATTAATAAGACTTTTCTGTATGACAGCATGAGCTCTATATTGAATTAGCTGGATTCATGAAGTTGTGAGTTAGTGTTGTGAGAATCAGTGTCATAGCTGTACTTCCTTAAAAGCTAAGCAGACCAAGCTAAAAAAATGTTATTTCCTACACTGTTTAGGGACTACAGCCAGATCACACAGTCAGAGGACAGAAATCCATTTCTCAATAAGAACTCTGGGGTATTTTGAGGGAGCTACTTGGAAAACAGTTGTTTCTGTGGCAAGTCAAAGAGAACGAGGAGAGGAAAGCCATCACTGTGCCAGTCACAGCAGTGCATAAATAATCTCAAGGAGTCAACACTGTTCCTCTGCACTGAGCTAGGATGAAAGTTTTCACAGGTGTGTGGTGAACTGTGCAGAGAAATGGATCTAGCTGAAAAAAGAAAAGAGATTTTTTTTAACCCAGCTCAGTTTACCAGTCCAGGTCAGTGACTACTTCAGCCACACATGGCTGCAAGTATTCCTACAGTGAGAGTGGGAAGTTATTGGTAAACTGCAAAAAAACACACCAATCTCCTTTTGCAGTAAGTTTGCAAAGAAAAGTAAATTAATATAGAAAAGCTGAGGGATTTCCAGTACATGCCAGAGAACACAGCTCCCTATGAGAAACTTTCTACAAATATAGCACAAACCCAAGTGATTTGCATGGATTTTGGTTTCTGATATCCATTGCATAAAAAACATTTCTAAGCTAATTTCTATTTCTACAGGCCATGATTCTATTCAGCTCAATAAAATATGGTGTTCTCATTTCTCTACACTTCTTCCATCCTCTGGCTCCAGCTACAGCAAAAGAATACACAGCATTCAAACAACCCAAGGAGATACACAAGAACATTGTCATTAAAAGTTTGTGAGGCTTGTGGGTGGGGGCAGGAAGAAATGGAAGAGCCATTGCCCTAAACCAGTCAAAAAATTTCAAACCAACTCAAAAGTATATGAGACAATAACAGTATCCAAATTATACACACAAGAGTTTAGATACTGCAATAAAGAGTCCCATCATCTCAACTCATAAATGTTCACTGGGGATTACTCACAGCAGACAAACAGGATTTTTCAAAGATGTTGTATATACAATAAAACATAAAGATTACAGAAATGCATCTCTGGAATTCCTGCTTTATTGAGCTGTTTATCATATAACTACTGCATTATGCCTAAAAGAGCCAAACAACCCTAAGGGAAAGTCTGTTTTTAATCAGTTCCACTCTCACAAAAGCCCTAAAAGTAAAGATTTTACCTATGTTCATCATTATTCTATATGAACATTAACATATATCCTGGCCATTACTGTTGAACAGCCAGCCAGTCATAATTTTGCTCACATAATGAAAGACATCAAAATTACCCTGGAAAAAAGTACTACCTTCAGTTGAAAGCTAAGTTCATAAAAATCAAAGCTTGATTTTTTAATTTTAAATTTACTAATTTAAATCACATTAGTGCAAGCCCATTCAAACAGGAAATATTTCCAAAGTCCTAGCAATGATGTGAAAGTTTAATCACTGAACTGTAGTTAAATATTAACATCTAATACACAGATATCTTGAAATTAAGACTTTATACACAACCCAAAAAATCATGGTCTGTTTTAAAGAACATTTTCAAGACTGTCTGGATAATGGTTCAAACTGAGAACACTGCTTCTAAATATCTGCCTTACACTAAACTCCTCTGCTCAGCTTCTTTCAGGAAAAACTTGGGACACAAGGTATAACTTCCATTTGTGCAGCTTTTGTTTGCATGCTGTAGTTTGTGTTTTGCTTGAAGAATATGACTACAAAGGAAAAGCTTTCCTTGTTCTGACTGCTGCCCAGAGGATCAGGCAGGACTTCTGGAGGAAGGAGGAAGATTGTATTTTCCTCCCCAGCAGGAAGAGGATGCTCAGCTGGGGAAAGAGTCTAGACCACAAACTGGAGCCAAGCCGGTGCAGCAGGAGCTGGCTGGCAGCCCAGGGCACACCTGCCAGAAAGCCCCAGGAGCAGCACACTCACCAGGGGATATCAGGGAACTCTGAACTGCAGAGCCCTGGGTGCTGCTACAGGTGCTAAAAACACCAAGTGCTGCACACAGAGACCTGCAGGGACTGACTGAACAGAGCAAAAGCCTTGTTCATTGAAACACCCCACAGCTCTGACTTCTGACATGTACTTAAATGTACTTAAACATTCTTTATCTAAAAAAAAAAGAAAAAAATAGTTGCCTTATTCTGGTTTGCTAGTTTTACATTATAGGAGAAAGAAAACTAGCTTGAAAAATACCAGCCTTGGTCTGCTTGTTGTAAGGAAAAGGTGAGAGTCTCACCTCTAGGCTCTGACTTGGGTGATGTGGCAGATGTTAGTTAGAATATGGCAAAGCTTCTAAAATTATGTGAAGGCAAGACATGGCAAGTCTTCCAAGTTTCCATGATTTAAAAACAATATATAGCTTTTCTAAAACTATATGTTCTCAATAATGGCAGAATGGACAAACATTCTTTTCTTGCAAACAGTAATTTTCATTTCTTGCTTAAAAAAGTAAAAAAAAAAAAGGCAGCTGTTCTCCCTACAGTTTGTAAACTCTCCCTTTCTTTCCAGTCAGGCAGTTAACCCTGAAGCCAGAAAAGACACAGCAGGCTTCCTCTCACTCACTCTCACAACTGTGAAATGTCACTCCTAGAGGAATGTCACATTTCAAGTACACAATTAATTTGAAAAGCTTAAATTGAAATGTACTATTGTGACAGCTCTTGAAGTTGCTGTTTGTACTTGTTGCAAATATGCATTTCTAGGAAGAATTTTGGTTTATTACTGAAGAATTATCCTGCTCAATTGGCACTTACTACTTGGCATGTGTGTACCAACAACCTAGTGACAAATCCCATCTTAAAATGAAATTGTGCTGAACAATTCTATCTTTACCCTCACATTCAAATCAAGCAGTCACTGTGGGTCCATGTTCCATCTAGGGAATATTTGTAGCATTTGCTAAAATATATGGAGTTACTGCCTCACATGTCTCAGTGTCAAGAGAATCACAAAACTGCTGTCACTATAATGGTAAAATTTTCAGAACAATGAAAGGTGAACGCCACTGATCACAATGATTTTCTCATTTGTGTGAGCCATCTGAAGATAAAATAATTAATTTTGCCAACTCTTGTATTACAGGTTTGAAATTCAAGAATTTCTCTTGAATTTACACAGAGTAAGCACTAGAATCTTTTTAATTTCAACTCCTTTTTCTTTATGTGACAGACTGCAGCATCTTTAGAAGATTCCTAAGGTAAAATCTACAGATTAATTATGTAAAGGATTGACTCTGTGCATAAAGGATTCTAGATTCCCCAAGTTTTATTTCAATTTGTTCAAGGAGTTTGCATGAAGATCCAATTCAAAACCAAAATACTGCTTATAGCAACATTTCATAAATCATACATGTATATTTCTTATGCCATCTTAAAAATGAGTTACCCAACAATGTCAATACCAATGATTTGTGTTATTTGGACTGAACACCACAGGGATATTTTAGTTTTTCCAGCCTGATGAGCACACTCAGTTTTCACTATCACCAGTTACTGAGGGTCCTATAACATAAAGAACACCTGACCAGTTTTTCTTCAGTTCCACCACTTCCAAAGCTTACTCCAGAAATAATGGCAAGGCCATTAAAGCAGTCCAGGTACTCTAAGTGTCCTTTCACAGGTCAGCAGAAAGTAAACCATCCTCCTCAAAACAAAAGGTATTTATTTCATAGCCTCTCCAGCAATACCAGCATGAATCAGAAAGCCAGAAAAACTTCAGTTTAAAGAAAAATGCAGTTAGCTATTGATTGCATGGCTAGAGGTAGATCTGCTGAAGCTGGTGTTGTACTTCCTTGTGTTAGCAGGATTTATACAACTACTTACTTGTTAAAAAAAGGTTCAATGAGTTCTGATCTAGCAGACACATGGTTTTTCGGAGGACTGAGGAATGAACCTGATGAAGGAAGAATAAATTCAGTTTGTAATAAGCAGCTACAGAGAGCACCAGGAAGAAGGTTTGGAAAAGATTTCACATGTACCTAGGAAATTAGCCATGGAAATGAAGCACAGTCCAGTAATGTAAGCATCATACCCTGCTTCATGGAGTTGTTCAGATGCTGTATCGTAACTTGGAAATCCTTCTGCACTTTCTGAGGGGAAAAAGACATTTTTAAATAACTATCAGAGAAGATAAAGCTAGTCCTGTATGCTTACCCACAGGCTTATTTTGCTAGAGCATAACATCATTTGGGGAAATTTATACAACTTGCGGAATCTTCAAATTTTCTTAAGTTCTTTAAAAAACGGGTTTTTTTTTCTTTTTAAAATTAGAATAGGTTCATAAGATGGAAAGTCTTTCCCCTTAAAAAGCCCTTAATCCCAACACCTGCTCAGCCAAAATGGAGCACTAATTGTAAGACAGTGACAGTGGAATTCCCCACAAAGTCTCTTTTTTCCTGACTTGCATTTAAGAGAACAGTCTAATTAAAAGCTTCACAATTAACCAGACAGATAGGTCAGATTTTTCAAGGTATTTAAATGAAGACTGAACTGAGTGATTTAAAGATGTCTTTATTGACAAATACACTTGGGGTTTATGCTCTGCACATTCAACAATATAAAAAAGTACTGCTCATCTTGATTTTGATCAAGCACCGAAAACTTTCCCTTTCAACATACTCCACTCTACACTATTGCTCTCCCTTTTCTAAATTAGCAGCTTAAGAAAAATTCCAGAACCTTGAGCTAAGCTTGCCCTTTGATTAAATATCCTTCTGTTCACCTCAAGGCCCTTTTTCCTACTAAAAGAACTGTAGTAATTTCTAGAACACACACAACTGGTCACTGCTGTAGAAATTTTCTTAGTTTTGTTTGTCCAAGTGCCTCCTGTCCAAGTGCCTCTGGCTTTGATCTAAAGGACAACCATCAAATGAAAGTTTTAAACAAATTTCAAATTAATCCCCAAAAATCAACCTAAAAGAAAACAAATCCATCATTAGAAGATGGTGAAACTGCTGTTCACTGAACTCATCCATTCTTTTCTGTCTAGATTCCTATGAAGTTCCAGGTATACTTCTAAATATAATTGCACTGTATGTACAGTGCCCTCATTTAAAGTCTCTTCATCAAAACACTCAGTATGAGCAGGGAATTTATAATTCAGACCAAGAACAAACATAATCAAAGCATTTCAGAAATAAGAGCATTTTGAAATATCCTTACCAACTTTAGGAGGGCTGAATGGAACCTCTTTTAAACGTTTTTCCAGTTCTGCAAGTGATGTATTATTAATGAGCTCCTGCAAGAAAAGCCATCATTAATTGCCAATGCCAAGCACATTTTCCCTGGAAACTGAAATCAAACAGGATCAAATGAGTATTTACTGCTGCCACCTGGTGTTCTCCAAGGATTTACACAAAGCCCTATTTCAAACTAATGCACCAGAAGTGTGTCAAGACGAATTTCAGTTACCTTGCCTCACTTACATCATAAGCATTTATTAATGCTGCTCAGAATTATTGAGGGATTATGCCAAAGTAATATTTCTATTTGTATCTGGTTTCATGCAGGGTACATGTGCCAAGTTAAAGGCAGCACAAACAGCAGGGCAAATATTCTAAATACTCATCCTAATGGTTGAAGGCATTCAAGGTGAGTATTGAAATGTGCTTGCTGACTGGACATTCTTAAATAGTTTTACAATGTAAATACTGCTGATTTAAAGTAACACAGAGACAGTGAAAGAAGTCTGACAATCAGAAAGTTGCTCCTACATGTCAACTTAGTTGAGCAGCATCGGTGTTTCCACTGATGAATTATAAGCATAAAGAGCCACAAAGATATATTATAGATTAATTCCTTACTGAAGTTCTTAATCAAATATGTTTTGTCAATCAGTACAATGGAAACATTCAGAATCAACAGCCAGAGAAAGCAAAACACATCACACAATCTTTCTTAAAAGTTGTCAGATTTATGAAGACCAGATTTCCTTTGGTTCTCAATCAAGCTTAGCTGTTTACACTCATCAAGTCTGCAGACTGAAAAGTTATCAAGAACTAAGTACAATGAACAAGCTCAAATGATGCATTCATTTGGCATCCCAAAAGCAGGGTTTCATAACAACAGGCTAAAAACCCAAGCATCTGCTGTAGAATCACAAATATCAACATAGCTGTACCAAACATAAAACTTGTGCAGGTTTCCTACTTTTCAGAATGCCAAAGCCTCTATTCTAACCACAGCAGTGTGCAACACAAACCTGACAATACCTACAAGTGCATTTAATAGCACCTCTTTATGCAATGCTCAGGAGTCCCAGAGCTATGCACAGAGAGAGATGCTGCTTCCTCAGCATGTTTTTTAATTGGGGAAACAAGAGCTTATGAACACTTATCTCAATACCTCTTTAGAGGAATAAAACTCAGGCTGTAAGAGATTTTAAGAGAAACCTGTAATTTTTTTCCTCCTGCTGACTACCCACTGAGCAAAGGCCACAAGAGAACCTAATGATGATAAAGCATTTTTCCAGACAAATCTAAGTCAGCATTCACAGTACTCTAAGGCTTGGAATATACAAGCAGCTTCCAGATCCTATTTGTTCATGAACAGCACTTTTTATCTCCTGAGGGGACATGCTACTTAACAAGAAGAAAATAATCTACTAATCATATTTTACCTTGCAAAAACTCTGCATATTTTGGAATTCAAAGCTGCCAAGTTCCCATAAAACTTCAAACAAAAGTGACAAAAGCCAATAGTAGGAAAGTAAAAATTTGCATTCTGTAAATTCTGTAAGTTTAGATTAGGGGTAAAGAAAAATAATTCCTCTACAATAAAAGGAGCATCACAGAAAATATTATTCAACATCTTTCTCCACAAAGCAGTATCATTTGTTTCAATACACATGTATTAATGCAATTTTCTGTCTTCAAATCATTCTATAATATTAACTGACCTTAAAAGGTTGTGTACTTGCCATCAGTTTAGTATCCAGTAACCTAGAAACAAAATAAAGAGCTAAATAGGCTGAAACAGAAGAATGCCCATTTTGCCAAATCCTCAAAACATGTTCTAGTGTATTAGCTGGGAAACAGCAGATACACCCCACTGAAAATTACTCTTGGATTTGGAACAGCCAAAACATTCCTTGGCTTTGTTCAGCATGAAAAAGGACAGCAACCAAGGAACAGCAAGAGATGCAAACAACTAGTAGCAAATAAATCTTGTTCCAAATGAAGCATACATTGAAAACACCAATCATCATGCCAAACCCAGGGGAACAGCAAGGGTGCATCTTTTGCTAAGAAGTGAACCAACAACAATGCTTTTCTGAAAAAAGCTGCTCAAAATTGCTTGAAGAATTGTATTTATCTAACTTGATCCCAATTTCTTTTCCAGTAACAGCTAGGGTACAGGGCTAGGACAAAAAACATCAGCCTGCTACAACTATACTGAAATGGATGAAAGTTTGAACTGAGAACTTACCGGGGAAAGACACATGATGTTACTTCCTTGAACTCACTTAGGTCCTAATTTAACATTAAACCAGAAGATAAAAGCCAAGTCAGTGAACTGTTTACAGTCTGGGGAGGACAGAGAGCAGGAGCTACAATTATCCAAACAGCCTCTAAAAGTGAGCTACAGTAACTGAATTCTCACTGGAAGAGATGTGTCAGCACTACCACAGACACCACCTGCAATTACACACTACTACAGACTACATATTCCTGAATTCGTCTGTCATTAGTAATAAAATGTTCTCTCACTGCCAACACCTTATCCTATTTTATACCCTACTTCTGATTCCAGCCGAGTTAACAGTTCTTAAGTGTTCCCAGCATTTTGTATTTCAATGGAATATAAGCAGTCACTCCAGTTATGCAGGGACTGTCTACAGGTTTAGATCTGCCAAGGGTCAAAAATACAGGAACCCCTAACAATTGTTTACATTCCAACAACATCCAAACTGGTCCCAAGCTTCTTCTTCCCATCTTATGATCAAGTCTGTCCCCAAACACCATGTGAGCCATCCTTCTAACAAGACCTTTGGCTTCCTCAGACAATGGTTTTGGTGCCAATACACTGTTTAGTTTAACTGAATAGTCCAGTCAAGAACTGTTAGACAGCCCTGCTGCAGTCAAAGTGTGCTCCCTCTAGTTATTCTGACATTACAACTCTTCATCCCAGTGAACATCATCCTGCTACAAGACTGCTTATCATTTTAGAAAGTGTACTATATTATTTAAAACCACACATTCCCATTTTGTAAACTACAAAGGAGAAAATGCCACATAATTGTGCTGCAGCTCCTCACCAGTATATCATTACACGTGAGTCAGTTAAATATACCCAACATAAGCAAAAACCACAATTCTACTATGTGATTTGAACCTTTTAAAAATGTAAAGGAGAACAATCCAACTAAACTTTCTACATAAATATTTATGACAATAAGGCCAGAAGTACCAAACAGATTTTTTTTAAAGACTTTTCAACACTTGTTCACAGGTCGACCAATTCTTCCATTCAGAAGAAAGTGTGGAGATAATATTAAAAGACAAATACATTAAGGCATTTATTTCATCATCTGAACACTCAAAAGATTACTTACATCAGGTAGAGGGCAGTAGAACTGATGTATGGTGTGCATAACATCCAGCAGCATGTTGTGCCCAATAACAAGCTTGCCCTGTGAAAATAACATAAAATGTGTGGTACATTTCCAGTCCTGGCCATGGCAAAGGGCACCTGTGAAAACCCCTATCCCAGCTGCCAGCCAAGGGCACACAGGAACAGGTACACATCAAACCTCCCCATTTGCTCTCTGCCTGCCCCACACACCTTCATTCTCTCAGAGCAGCCACTCCTTTTTAAACTCTACGCCCACTATTTATCACAGGCTTCACAGCAGCTGCATATGTTGAGAACATGCACTAGAACAGCTACTTACAACTTGGTTTCCAAATGTAATCTATTTAAGATTGAATTCAAGGCATTTCTCTGTCCATCACCTTTTAATTTGCTTATACAACAACACACAATATATTCCTTATGGTTATAATATACAATAGTTATTAAGGGCATGGTCTGGCTTCTCACAGTGCAGAACCTTTCATGCCTTTCATGCCTAATGCTGTACAAGCAAGCTCTTTGAAAAAGCTCAATAAGTTTTTTAAAATGTTAACTTTGATTCATTTGACATGATAACAGTCCTCCTTTGACAGCCTTTAACTGCCAAGAAAAAAAACGAAAAAAACACCAAAATATTTTTGGAAGAGAGAAAGAAAAACCCACCCAAGCTTATTTACCTAAGAGCCCTAAGAAGTTGCTATTCTTGACTCTTACAGATACTAAGATTCTTCATGTCATTCTTTAGTTTGAGCTTACTTAACCTACTACACTCAACCACTGTAAAACACAAAACATAAACTTAAAATGTCACTTTAACTTGTATTTCATCTTCTCCTCCAAAATGTAACAGCAAAAGAATCCTTTCTTTGAAATATTTCTTTTTTCTTGCAAACAAAGATAGATTAAAAATCACATTAACTTACAGAATTAGCAATGGCATGAACAACTCTGGAAAATCCTACAGCATCATTCAACTCTTCCTGTAAGAAAGATTCTGACATTAGTGAGACACAAATACAAAAACTGCCACAACCGTACCTGCAAACTGCCAGATGCCCCCAGTTTGCCTCAAACAGACCCAGAACAGACCATGAAGGAAATGTCAATATTTGGAAGACACAAAAGGTTAAAGCAGGATGCTGCTCACAGAATTTCCATTTTCTGTGTAGCTCTAGCTCACTGTCAAGCAGGATGAGTCACAAGCTGCTGTCCTGGGGTGCCCCAAGCAGCCACTCTGCCCTTTGCTCACTCCCCTCACCCAAAATTCAAAGGCAGACAATAAGATTTGTGGATAAGGAGAGCCCAGCCCCTCCAGCCTCCTGGCTTTTGGGGGAGGGTGGGAGGGAAAGCCTTGGCACTGTGCAAGAGCTGTTCAGCAGCAGACAAAACACATGGATGGTATCACTGGTGTTTGAGCCACAAAGCAAGATACAGCAAGATACAGGCTGCAAGGAAGGGAAACCTCTCCCCAGGCAGAGCAGCAACAGCTGCACTCAGTTCATTGTCAGCACATGATCCCCAATAGTGCTCAGCAGCTCTGACACTGCAAACAGCTCACAAGGTATTAAAAATAACCTACATGTTTTCAGCTGTATTTTTTACATACATTGTTACATATGCAACAGGTTGTATCCTGATTGTCACTCCTATTAAATCAGACCATACTTTTACACTACCACAGATTGAGGAAGAAACATTCTTCATTATTCATATTAAAAAAAAACAAGGAGAAACATTAAAATGTGCAATTCAGATTATATAACACTGTAGTTGTATAAACTGACATTTCATTAATTTGGGGGGTTCTGACTACACAAACTGCACAACCTGTTCTGCAACAGATTTTTCTTTCTCAGGTCTAGGGAAGCAATTTCTGCATTGTGTTATCTGTCTTTATTCAGCCAGAACTAAAATGCAATAAAAACATTCACTGTTACTTTAGTTCAGCTCTGAATGCTGCTAGTTTGAGCAAGTAATACCCCCACTAAAAACCCTACTGTAGTAGTAAATTGCTCCCAGCCTGCCTTCTGGATAAAGAGGTGTCATATTAGTTAATGTCTCTTTAGATATCTCTTTTTCTCTTAAAAGGATTTCTGCACAGATGTATTATTTGCTCCACCCAAACTGATTTTATCTTGATATATGAAAGCACAAATCATTGGAGTTTGATCAGGAACTCCCACAATTCAATTCTTATGACCGCCTGAAATTTGCATCACTCAGTAAGCAAAATAAAAGTCTAATAAACAGTGAGAGTGTCTGAATACACCAGGTGTGACCTCCTGGTCAGTTTGTTACCACAGCAGTAGTGTACAGTGTAGGTCTATCAAGAAATGACACATTCACTGCACAGGACACTAACTCAGCCTGCCAAGAGCAAGCAAGCTTTGTAAGAGAAGGGGAGACTGAAACCAAACCATGTAACAACTTGCTCAAGAATTTCTGCAAGAAACTGATGTTTCCTCTTACTGGGACACACTTTTGTGAGAGCAGAGAGTCATATGAGGAGGTAGTCACTACTCCAGAATACTCATTCAGTATTCTGATTTTTAAAAAAATTCAAATTTAAAAAAAAATTCAAATTCTGATTTTAAAAAAAAACTTTAGAGTGTCTTGCAACTCTTTTTGCTCTGTTGCAAGGCCTAAGTTATCTGGTAGATTTTATAAAAGCAAATTCAGCCAGTCACAGCAAACTAAAGGGAAGCAATACCAAACCCTATCCCACATTTTTGCATTGCTGAGTGAAGTCAGAGATTCTCACCCTTCCTCTCACACAAACTAATGGAATTGAATTTATTTACCTGCTCTTTTGCTTGTTTCTGCTGCTCTCTTCTTTTTCGTTCCTCTTCATCCACCTTAGTAATAACAATATATCTCTCCTTCTAAAACAAAAAATGTGTAGTTTGAGGAATGACACTGAAAAGTTCAGATTTAAGGCTGCTGCAAGTTTCTGTAAATTTACATTGTAAAGAAAACTGTCATACCTCAGCAGCAGTCACTTGGCAACACAGCTGTTTCTATTGTAGGCACCACATTATCACCTACTCCCAGAAGCCTGTTTTAGAAAGCTGGATTTGCTTCATCCACCAAACCTAATTTTTCCTAAACCCACTTTTTACTTCTCAAAACAGATTATGAGCATTTCCTTGTAAATAGTTTGTTTCAAATACCTTTTGAAGCAGAGATCTATGCTGGGAAGTGAGGACACAGCACATGATGCTGCTGGTTTTCCTCTGAGATCACAACCTGAACTAATACTGCATATCAGACCCACTGTATTTCAAAACACCTTTTAGTATCCATTTGAAAAGCAATATTAAGGCACACAAATACATGCCCATAATCCACATGTTGGTCAGATAGAAACTAGTTCACTGTATTCAATTTAAAATGCTTTAAATTTGCATAAAAAAGCTCAAGTTAGATCTAAAAATCAAAGAGATAGTGAAACTGAGAAATATAATTTCCTTTCAACAGAACAAATGTTAGAGGCAGTAACAGGCTTAGTTACCTTATCTGACTCCAGAGTTTCCACGTGGATACCTTTTGGATACCTACATCAAAACAAATGAAAAGTAAATATTAATAGTTATTCACTTGACATTTAGCATATTGAAACCACAACAGTAATTTAGTAATTCATGTTTAATTATTTCTATAAGTCTTAGGCATAAAAGAACTATTACACGTTTCTCTTTAATGTTAATTGTGCAAAATTTGAAGCAATAGGCTAATTTAACTGGCCTCCTTACATTACCTAACAGTAACTGGCACTTACACAATTTCCCATGCTATTGTGGAACCTGTAATTTCTCATTTTGGTGATATTAAGTAAATATCATCTAGATATTTCATCACAAACTAGAATCTTTGCTTTCAAGAAATCCAAAACAAGAATGCTCTCATTTACTCGCAACTCCAAGACAGCTCCTTTGAAGATGGCATCTTTTTAATACATCACTTATTTGAGGACTTATTAACAACCCTGAACCTTCTGCTACCAGCAGATTTTAGTAGGAATTATTAACTCAAATGTCATCACCTCTGCTACAGGGTTGCATCACATCACTACAATCCCATTTAATTTCCAAAATAACACCATACACAGAGCATCCAACTGATAGCAAAAGTAAGAGAATATTGCCTCTTCCTGCTTAACCAGTAGCAATTACTCTCATAATCTCATTATAATAAACTAACCACAACTGTGCAACCACTTCAGAATCAGCAAGTTGCCTTGGCCTCTGGCTACTCCCAGGATCAGTACTGGAGAGCACACTCCAAACACTGCTGTGTCCTTTCCACCCTGATTTCTCACACAGTTTTGATCTTCATCTCATTTATGAGCTGCCTCATGCCACAAACCATGGATGCATCAAAACACTGATGCACAAGAGAATACTTCAATAGAGAAAAACCTGTGAAGAGGTCAGGACACAAGGGCAATCAATAACTTCACTCTTCTGCTTTAATTAACTCCATGCTACCTTCACAGCTTGGCTTTCTCTCTCCAATACACACACACACAGTGTACACAGCTGTGCTCTCATAAAGCAACACTGCTGAATGTTAAAAAACCACAAGAACACATTCTTCCATCCACTCAGGGAAGATGCAAGGATAAGTATCAGACAAACATAAAGCTACATGCTACAGGAAGCTATAGACATGTTTAAAAATGATGCTGAAAAATTGTTGAAAACACAACTGCTTTTTTTCAGATTAGTTCTCGAGCTCACTTCTTGAGATCCCATTTTCTAGAGAGAAGCTTTATTTTATCTGCTTCCAGTGTAAGTATCAGAGTGCCAGATTCAGTGCTGAAACACTGAATTAACTAAACAAACAAAAAAAGACTTGCATATTTTCTACATCTTACTGCTGCAGTCAGAACAGTGAAAATCTTACTCTAAAGCCTTGGAGTTTCCCCTTAAGGCCTTAAGAGATACATTCAGGCAACATATGAAGTTATCAGAAGTGCTTATGCTTGGCATCCAACAGAAAACTATACCCACACCAGTACCTACCACAGAACTGCTATTTTTTCAGTTCAAGCCAACAATCTGTACAAGCACATGCACTTTCTCCTCACTAAAAACCTGCCATGCTGCATTTGTTACATAATTCTAGGCTGTGTGCTGATCTACTCAGAGATTTTACACAGTATAAAACAAATACTAGGCTTTAATATCTAAATTAATCATCACAAATAATTTAATGTAATTCAGAACATTACAGAAGTCTTCTTTTAAAAGGAAAAATAAAGTCTAAATCAATCACACCAAGGTTAAGTAGATATATCTTACCCAGATTTCTTATCAAAAGTACTAAAAATATACAGTAAGGCAGTATTACCAGTAACTTACTTCCAGCTCAAGGTCTGATAAATTAATTTCCTTTGAAATCTAAAAACAAAAGACAATCATGTTACTAATAATCCTTTTACAGAGTGTCTCCTAGGAGTGATTTCCAGTTTAAGCTGACTCTAAGTGTTCATTTGTAGAAAGTTTTTTAAAGCAAGAGTCACTGCTAGCAGAACTATAGGCTAGGAAGAGATTTACTGAATTCTGATGTTCAGCTGCCAAACTGTAAAAGCATTTACATCATGTTTTAAAGTTACCCATGTATCCTCTCCTCAGAGAGTATTGTGTAGCCATGATCCCTCAGTACAGACACAGTGATGGTACCTTATCCCCAGCTTCACCAGGTTCTACTATTCCTAAATTAGTCTTCAAAAAAATTTTTTTAAATAATCATACTCTCCAAATATCTAGTTTCCAAAGCTAAATAGAATTTTGGGAAGGAAACCTACTTCAAACAGTCACACACTGCCAACTGAGAACAACTAATAGTTCAACAGATTTTAGAAGTTTCTTTATAAAACGCATCTGGATCACTTCAGCAGTAACAAAAGGCAGCTCACACATACAAGACATTTCTTGACTATAGTTAAAATATTTTGCCACTAGATACAGAAGTTACAGCTCAAAATAAATTACAACCCCTGTATATATTACCACGTATTCTCAACATTCAAAAATTAGTCAAATGTAGATTTTGATACAGTTAACCCAAGTAAACATATTCTTCCCTCTCACTCCCCTAATTTTATATGACCAAACTAAAAAAACATTTTTAGAAGAAATGCAATTTCAGAAACTGACCCTGTACATGGCTCCAGTTCCAAACTTTCACTTTCTTCATTCTTTAATAAGTCTTCTATCTGTTCCCTGGAAGAAACAGATTATTTGCTTCTGTATCTACTATTCTACTTTTTGGAAGTTTACAGCTCTCTCCAAAAGACAAGCAAATGCTTCATAACAAAAAGAGCAGGATTTTACAAACAGTCAAATAACAGACATGTCTTTAACATGTGAAAATATCACTACTGTTCACATTTTAGTTTTAACAACATCAGAGGATATTAAAGAGGGTTACTTACACTACTTTCTCTACAAATTTTTTCTGATCTTCAGGAATTGTTACAGGGCACTTTGTGGAATTAGGAGAAATGTATGACAGAGATCCCGCACCATTGGCTTGAGAACGTTTTTCATCATACTGTTCCCTTAGCTGTCTCTCTTCTTCCTGATTTAAATATGGAATTCCTAAGGAAAAAAAAGGAAAAGCTCATAATAATTAGAGACTAATTAGGAATGCACAGGGATTCAGGCATTTGCCTCTGTTACACCCCTGCAGACTGAAAGCAAACCCTTCCCTTCCAGTGATTCTTAGAAAGGGAGTTACCATTGGCACAACAGTAGAGCAGGTAAGAATAATTCAAGAACTTCATTATGTGTTAAGACAGTATCATGGATGGCAGCCTTTTTTCTTTTGCAGAAAACAATGAAAGGTGTCATCACAAATTTTGCAGGCATTGAAAGAAATTGAAAACAAACCAAAACAACTCACCATTGCGAAAAACTTTATTAAAATCAAATCCTTGGTTTGCTAAAAAATCTATACTTGAACTCTGCAACAAGAGAAAAAGGCTTTACAATTGGCAAAAGTAGCTATGGCATCAGTTAAGTTATTCTCACACTTTTTAACAAATTATACAAAGTCCAAAGCCAAGAACAACCAAGTTTGTGACCCCAAAGAAGCCACTGATAGTTGAGGCTCTGCTACTTTTCTTATTGAATTTCAACTTCCATAAGGTACAAGAACCATGAATATGGTAAAGGATAAAGGTGAAAGAACAAACTATGTGGAGAGAGGAAATAAAAGAAAGCAAAATGTGGTTCACGAGAACAAATCTGAAACCAGAAAAATGTTGGCAATTGCCTAGGAAGCAGTGAAAGCAAGATTAGCAGATGGGAATAAAGGATTAAAAAAGCAAGGAAACTGGAAGTTCAATGAGAAGAGGGAAAAAATAGAATCATCTTGCCAAGTTTGGAATATTATCTCAAATTCCAGAAATCACACAAAACAAGATTTAAAAACTAAAGTCAAGGACATTCCCTTAAAGCTCCATTTTTGTGATTGCTCTTAACTGATGCTTATTTATTTTATAAGAAAAAAACCCAACCCAGAAATTTACATTTTTCTACCTTTTAAGCTGAAGTTTGTTTGAGGTATACCCTAACCAAATAGAATTAAACTGTTTTTCTACTAACCTGACAGACAAACTTGACATCTGGTGAATTTCTGTTAAAGGGTTTTGGAAAAATATAGAAATTAAATGACTTCATTATATACCTGTAGAAAAGATGAGTTACATGTCAATACAGCTTGTCAGTACTTAGAAAATCCTCAATTAAGAAAACAAGAAATAAGAGAATAACATACTTTTCTTCTGTGTCATCATATTTAAAAGTGCAAAGGCCAAACTGAAAGAGCAAAAAATCCATGGAATGCTGTAAAATGAAAGAAAAATTTTGCATGAGAATAAAACGTACACATTTAAACATTACCAGGGTGCATCCAAATATGATTTCTCTCCATTTCAAAATAAAGTGAATCTTCTTAACTAATGTTTGTTTTACTGGTAATTTGAAAGTAGACACGCCAGAGTTTTTCTGCTAGTTTTCATCCCCATTTAATCATCTTACTATTGGCTCAAGATAACTTTAGTATGCAGTTCCATTCCACAAAGAGACAAGAACTGAGGGAAGTTCCATCTCTCTTTCCTCCTGCTGGTCACACAAACAAGATGCTGCACCAGCGGCAGCTTCAGTTTCCATTTTAGTCCATGTTAAGACTTTACCTTTTTAAGTTTCTGATACCTTTCTTCTGGAGTGTCAAAGCCATTTGTTAATGCACTAACTGAAGGCCCATCACTGATCCCTGAAAAAGCAGAACATATTTTGCTTTGGGTAAGCTTTTCAAAATTAACTACAGCAAAGAAATGCAACAACTGGCAATTGCTTTCACTTAAACCATGTATTACAATTATTTAATTTGAGAAAAATACTACTGCAATAAGCCACTAATTTTAATAGGGGCATTCTAGAATGAAAACTCTTCTGCAAAAGCTCTTTATTCTGGCTCCTATTCAATATGTCAGTAGCAGCCAAGACCTACAGTACCCTAATGTAAATGGGCTTCACAACACAATGTAGGATCAAAGCCAAACTAAAAATGGGAAGAGTGTTACCCAGAGATTTATTGAATAACTTAGTCACCTTAAGCACTAAGCAACAACTGTACTTCCACAACCACCACATGTAACAAGACCTAGTCTCATCAATGAACAGAGCTCTGCATCCCAAAAGCGAAGTACCGACTGAAGCATCTCTCTGCTGCACATACCCTCAGGGTTTCACATTCTTAACGCTGCCTTTCCCTGTCCAAACACTTGCAGCATCTCCATCACTTATCCCAATCCCAATGTGTGCTTTCATGGCACACACAAAACCTTCTGGGTATTTTACCTTGAGCTGCAACAACTATCAGTTGTCATGCTGAAGGATTTCTGTGGGAGTACAAGTATGACATGTATCTGACCAAAGCCTTGCTACGGCACGTGTAACAGGTGGTTTAATCACTTTGTGGTAGCTCAGCTTTAGCTTTTTCAAGCCAACTGAGACACACCACCGGAGCGAACTCGGGCACCGGGGTGAAACCACCTCCCCTAAGAGATTGCCAACAGTCCACAATGACAAAACAGGTGCAGCTGTACCTGAAAACTCTCCATCGATGGCCAGGAAGTCCGACTCTTCAATGGCTTCGTACACTTTGTTTAGGTTATCCTTAAAATCTGCGGGTAAAGGGTTAAAACACACTTGAGACTACAAACGACGTCCTCCGGCCGCCCGGCGCCCCTCAGGGCCTACCCGCCACCCCCTCAGCCTCGGGGCCGCGCCTCCCCGCCCAGGGCTGCGCCTCATGGGTGAGCGGGGCAGTGGGGACCCCTTCGCCATGAAGGAGAGGCTGAGGCCGGAGCGGCCGCCAGCCCAGGGCAGGGACACCGGGACACCGGGACAGCATAGCGCTAGCGGCACAGAGCGGGGACGCAGGGCCGGGTTGTCACTCACTGCTCCTGATCACCTCCATCCCGCGCCCCCGCCCGCCGGAGCTCGGCCCGGCACCGCCCGCCGCCGCCGCCGAGCGCTTCCGGGGCCGCCCCGCGCGCCGCACGTGAGCGCGCACGTGAGGCCGGGCCGCCGCCATTTCCTACCGGGGCGGAGCCCTCAGAGCCGCACCGCCCTGAGGGCCCGTGGGCTCGGCGCCTTCTGCAGCTTGGCTTGTGCTCCGAGCGGGCCGCACGACCGGAGCGGCTGCAGCAGGGCTGCTGGGGAGAAGGAAGTCTTACACCAGCCGCGGTTCTGTGGTGAAATGTCACGGATGTGGGCCTCGCCCTCAAAGCCAGAAATACGAAACTAACAGCAGCCAGGAAGAAGGCATGGGACTCTGCCTAGGAGATACTGGGAGGACGGTGGAGAACTGCTAGCGACGGTGCCTTAATGATGATAATTCCAGGGGAACTGGAGGCCGTGCTGTGTTACAGAAGGAGCGTTTTCCTTTAGAAGCGGCGCTTTGAGAGTTCGCTGCAGAAGAGCAGCAGGATGGGCCCGCAGCAGCGCCGTGCCAGCAAGAGCTGCCCCGGAGAGCAGGTGCTGCACAGGGACCCGGGGCAGGAGCTGTGGGCACGGGCCGCAGAAGAGTTCAGAGGTTGTGCTGCAGGGCTGGAGTTCACACGGCTCATAAAGCATCTTTTCCAGAATTCCGGCATAATGGAAACAAATGAAAAATTCTCCACAAATTGTGCGGGGTAATTTCTGCATACAGAAAAAGAGAAATAATTATGCAGGATGTAGTGGAGAGAGCTTTTAGAGATTCTTCCATATTAAGCTTTGCCTTTTCAGTATAAGCAATTTATTCAACAGACATGCCCTGCAATTCATTTAGTATGATTAAATGACTCCCAGTAAGATGTTAGTTAAAATGGCAGAGAAGTTTTTATTTTGCAGTAAATTGGCAGAAGCCTAAAATTTTTATGTTACTCCTCAGTTTTTTAAGATGCATTTCTGCACTTTTAAATTAAAGTGCTTATGACACTTTAAAGTGTTTGATAGCTGTTTTAGAAGCCTGACATTTTCCCACAAGTAGCTGACAAATCTGGGAACTCTTAGCTTCCCTCACCCACAAAATAAACTGTGAGTCAAACAGTAAGGTACTGTAATTAAGTACTTCAATAGGAGTTGAAGTACTATGTCTTACAGATTAGACATTTCTTACTTCAACAGGTATGTATTGTTATGTAAGCAGAAGGAGCACCTAAAAATGAGAGTGCAGTACAAGCAGTTAGTTCAAGATTCCATGGCCTTTTATATGTCAAAAGTTTTATAAACTGGAACAGAAAGACCATGTTTTCACATCATTCAAGTCTGCTGCACAGACTATCAAACACTTGTATGCTCTTTTACTTTACTGAACATTGAATGTGAAACTAAGTGAAAAGCCACAAAAAAGTAGTAAAAAAACTAGAACAAGTATTCTGGGCTGCATTTTCACCTTGCATACCAAGGTAGATCTAGATGCACTTCCTCAGATCTAGAAGAGCTTGAATTCGTTCATGCTAGAGTAGTTTAAAGATCTGTTGATTGGTTCTCTGGAAAAAAAACTAGATAATATGAGAGAGAAAACAATGAGAGACTATTTTCTTTCTTGAAATAGGCTGGAATAATTAAATGTTATTTGAACTGGACTTGTAGTTTGTATCAAACTGAAACAAAATCTTAAAATGTCACTTTTGACAGTTGAAAAAGTACGTCTCAGAGGTATACTTTAAAAATCACTTTATACTTTATATACTTTAAGAATCAATTAGGTTGGAAAAAACCTCTGGGATCATTGAGTCCCACGTGTGACAAACAGCACCATATCATTTGGACTGTGGCATTCAGAGCTTTGTCCGGTCCTTAAACGCCTCCAGGGACGGTGATTCCCCCACCTCCCTGTGCAGCCCATTCCAGTGTCTGATACCCTTTCCTAATGCCCAACCTAAGCCTGCCCTGGTGCAGAGTAAAGCTGAGTCCTGTCACTCGTTCCCTGGGAGAAGAGGCCCATCCCCACCTGGCTACGACCTCCTGTCAGGGTGTTATAGAGAGTGAATCAAATTTTTTTGGACTAGTCAAAAGAATTTCAGTAAGGGAACAGAGACTGATGGAGGTAATTGTGCATGTGTGGACTGACTCTTATGTGGTAAGAATAGTCTCTGTGCAGGATGCGGTAGCGCTGCGGTAAAACTAGCACCTGAAAGTATCATTTACTCCTAGGATTACACCTCGAATCTCCACTGTAAAATCAACCTTGAATAGTTTCTGCGAAGGAATGCTGCCTGGGTGCCTATTGTACCGTAAGCAAGCGTGCCTCAGTTCTCACGAATACAGAAGTGTGTGTATTCCCAGAAATGGGAGTGTAGCAGTGCCCACGTCCGGTGATAACGCTTGCAATGAAGGGCGAGCGGCGGCGGTGTGGGCCGGCGGCCGTGCTGAGGGAGGAGCGGCGCTGCCGCCGTGCTCCGGGGCGGAAGCGGCGGGGCGGGCCCGGCCCCTGCTCGGCCCGGGGCTGCAGCCGGGGTGCCGCGGGGCCCGAGCGTGTGCCCAGCATCGGGCTGGGGCCGCCCCGCCGGGAAACACCGCGGGCCCGGCCCGGCCCGGCCCCTGCTCGGCCCGGGGCTGCAGCCGGAGCGCCGCGGGCCCGAGCGTGTACAGGGCATCGGGCTGGGGCCGCCCCCGCCGGTCCGACCGGGAAACGCCGCGGGCCCGGACCCGCAGTGCTGTGCTTGAGGAAGCAGCGCGGGGTGCAGGAAACTGGAGCTGGGAAGAGACAGGAGAGGAGCTGGGAATCATTCTGCTGCTGCCTCTTGGCGCAGACTGAGCGGTGAAATCTTTTTCCTGTATTTTCCACAGAAATTCTCTTGCCTCTTTCAGGAAAACTAAATGAATATTTTTAGGGGCAAAATCTTGTTTTTATTTCTCCTCTTACAAGTGCTGTTTCAGATTTTAGAAAGCAAACAGCCTGTGCTTTGCCATGGAAATACAGGTTTGGAAGTCTAAGGATTCCAATTTCACTATCGGTTTCTGTTTTGAACTTGTGCTTTTTTCGTAATTTCTGTTTTTTACGTGATTGCTTGTTTACCTCTTCGTGCTTGATCTGGGTGAGAAGTTGGTAATTTAGTGGTAAGCAGGAGCCACAAGGTGGAGAATGTAATCATGTTTTGGTTTGTTAGTATCTGAGGAGAAAGTTGTCTAGTTCTTGGTATCCTCTAACATATACATGCGTGATGAGTGAATGATCTGGATCAGTGTTTTTCTTAAGAAATATACTGCTGACTAAGAGAATGGAGTGGGAACATCAAGCAAATATATTTTCTGTAAACTTGCAACCGTCTTAAACTCTTATCTGTGCATTTTCTGTAATGTTAACAAAGTAACTACAAGTAAAGTTAATGTGGAGTTTAGACCTTGGCTGACAAGGTGTGCAGATCAATCCCTTATGATTCTGAAGCGTATGACTTGGTGGATCAAACCTTTTTTTTTTGACATTGCCCAGCAATGTGTATCATTGACCTCTGTTAGTAATGTTTTATTCCATATGCCCTGAAAGAAGAGGGATGAAGTGAATTAGATCATTACATTATACTGGTATTTTATTTTTGTATCTGCTGATTATACTTTTTAATTATGTTTTATTTGACTGGTTTCTTTTACTAAAACCTTGACTAAAGCTACAGTCAAAAGTCATGTGAATCATAGTGAATTATTTTGTTTTGTTTCACTTTCATGTATTTTATAACAAGGGAGAAGAAAACATAGGGAGATTGAGCCCAGCTATTTACATCTAGAATCTGCTTTTGATTCTAGTTGGCAATGAATATATTGTTGAAAAAGTAGATCATGTTTCATTTTGGGGAGGACTGAGTTACTTAAAAAATTTAAAACCATTTGAGTGTCAAAAGCGGTGCAGTGATAAATCACATTGCTCACAATTCTAAACTTCTGTAATTGCTGTGTTCATGTTGCTTTGCAGAAGTAGTGCCTTACCTGGTTTGAAGATCTAAGAGAGCTTTCTGTTTGTGTAAGGCATAAAGGAAAATGGAAGAAGATGAGACTTCACCAGGGGAAACAGAGAGGGCAGAAGTTGAACCGAGTGCTGCTCCTGGCCTGGGCCGGCAGATATCAGTCAGTGAGTTCCTGTGCCACTGCTGCTACGACATTCTGATCAACCCCACCACCCTGAACTGTGGGCACAGCTTCTGCAGGCATTGCCTGGCCTTGTGGTGGGTGTCATCCAAGAAGAATGAATGCCCGGAATGCAGAGAAAAATGGGAAGGATTCCCCAAAGTCAACATCCTCCTCAGGTGAGGGAACTATTTTGTGAATGTCTTTTTTACATAAATGAAACCACAGAAATTAGCTGTCTGGTTTCTTGAGTTTGCTGCAGATACAGATAATTGGTAATCTGAACTGTCACAAAGAAATTTAAATTCTAAAGACTTTCAGATTGTGCACTTGTAATGAACTGTTCAAGCACATGGAATTAAGGGGTGGGGTTGGTTGGTTTTGTTTTCAGGTTTGTTTCAGGGAGGGCTTTCCCTTTCCCTGCTACATTTTTCGGGAGATGGAGAGGCAGGATCCTCAGTCTTGTAATATAGCTGGTTATTTTCTAATAATTCTGAGTTAGATGGATCTTGGATAATTGTATAGTAATTTCTATAATAGGAATTATCTATTGGAAGTGTGGTCATACTGCAGAACAAAACTGAAAACATCTACTTGCTGTCTTGAATTACTCACAAGTTGTTTTGTTAATAATACTTTATCTGGAGTTAATAATGTTTAAATAAGTAGATGGTAGGATTGATGGTAGGCTTTTATTTTGTCTTTTGTTTAGCATTTTTTAATAATTGAGGCTTGCCAGTGGCACACAGAATTCTAATTTTATATAAGAAATAACTTGGAAGTTATGTGATATTTTAGCTTTAGAAGCTAAGGAATATGTTTTTTGGCAGTGAGTGAAAAAATTCTAAGTTTACTAAGCTTTAATAACTATTTTTTCTTGCTTTTAAGTCTTTCGTAAAGGCTGGAAAACAAAAATCCAAAAATTACTTTGTTTTCTGAATATTAAGCCTCAGTGGTTACAGTATAATGACAAATATTTTTCCTATCAGGGATGTTATTGAAAAGCTATTTTCTGATGCCATTGAACAAAGAAAAGAAGATATTGAACAGAACAGTGATGTAGCACGCAGCTTAGCAACTTTCCAAAAGCATGGGAATGACCAGATGCCTACAGTTCCAAACACAGGAAGAATTAATCCTCGAGGAGGGTTTTTCTCAGGTGTTCTGACAGCTTTAACTTGTGTAGCAGTAAGTTTCATCTGGTTGGTTTTCCCTATTTGCTCCCTTAAGCATGCAATCAAATATTCTTAAATTACATGCACAGTAAAACCATTGTCAGCAAGAAGAGACTCCAGCTGGGCAGAGTAAGTAAAGTGGCCTTCAGAGCTGTCTGTCAGGAACTACAACTGCAGTGAACAGCAAATGGAAAATTAAATACTTTCTTAAAACCTGAATGTTCTAGTCTCCATGAAATGGAAGACTCTACGTGTGGAGCCTCTTATTGTGTGTTTATTTATATCATTCATGTATTTGCTTTGCAAGTAAAGGATCATTGTTTATTTATCTTTGTAGGTAGTTCTACTTGGCTATCACTGGAGTAGCAGAGAATTTGAAGATGATCTTCTTGTCCACAAGCCTGTTGCTAAGTGGACTGCTGAGGAAGTGATACTGTGGCTGGAGCAGCTGGGCCCATGGGCTTCACATTACAAAGAAGGATTTTTACTGGAGAAAGTAAATGGAAGGTGAGAGGCCTTGTGGTCAAGGACAGCTATTATGTGATTGGACTGTGACAGATTCATTAGGGGTGGTTTATTGTGAAATGATCATACTGTGTGACATAGATTGTGGGAATATTCTGCTGATGTATCAGAAGAAATTTCAGGAGAAATTTTAGCAGTTGCTGTTGAAAACTTGTAGTAGTAGATACTTAGCAAACTACCTGAAAATTTTCTAAGAACTTGTTAAAATGCTGACAATGCAGACTGAAATGATACCAAGAGTAAATCTACTGAGGGGTATTATCCACCCCTTGCACCTTTCCTTTCTTGTGGAAATGTGCAGGTGCTCTATGCATATGTATTCCACCCAAGAGCCGTGCTGAAAGCAGGCAAGAGGAAACTGGAAAAGAAGGAAATTTAAAACCCAGGCTCTGACATGCAGTTGGCATAGAACACTTGATAGGCAATGTAATGATGATCTTTTAAAGTTGGCCAACCCAAAGTATTCTCTGATTCTTTAACCCAAAAGGTGCTACCTTGTATCAGTAGCCTACTGTTTCAGTGTGCAGCTGTGTATATTTGTTAGTCATCTTTTTTGGTGAATAGGCACTGTTTACCTTCTTAATTCTTCTGCTTTTGTAGACTCCTCCTAACACTGACTGAAGAGGATTTCACCAAAGAGCCTTACAGCATAGAGAACAGTAACCACAGGAGAGCTCTTATAGCAGAACTGGAATGTGTGAAAACTTTAGGTGTTAAACCACCACAGAACCTTTGGGAATATAAGGTAAATTTTATATAAAAGTGTGTCATGTCATGTATATTAATTATTTTTAAAGTAATACCTTTAAAAGAAGATTCTCTTAAAACCAAGAAGATTCTCTTAAAACCAGGAAGAGTGTTAAAGTAGTGGAGTTACCTGTGTAAAAAACACTCAGTTTAAGTGACCTGTTGTATTGGGAAAAAACCCTTCAAAAACTGTTTGTCAGAAAATCTAAGAAGTGGCATGTCCCTTTCATATTATTTTTTTACTGATTGAAACTTAATAATTTGATATCTTTTAGGCCGTAAACCCAGGAAAATCACTCTTTCTTCTGTATGCACTGAAGAGTTCTCCAAGACTCAGTATGTTATACCTGTATTTGTTTGATTACACAGAAGCTTTCCTTCCTTTCATCCACACAATTTGTCCTATGCAAGAAGACAAGTATGAAGATACTGTCACAAAACTACTTGTAAGTATTCAAAACATCAAATATGCTGCTTGCTTTAGTTATAAGCATTTTAAGACTAGCGGCATAAAAACACATGATGTAATTATTCATAATTTCATCTCTACACTATGACTTTAAAAACAGCAGATCTACAGTGGTTCTTTGATTTTATTGTATGCAATCACCAGTGTTGCAGCCGTTACCTTTAATAGGATTGATTTTAGGCTTTTAAGACTTTAAATGTGTGAAACTGATTCTTCTGAACCTCACATGACTACAGAAAGTGATGTTCTAATCTAATGGAAATTATTGCATTACAGTATTACCTACTAGCAAGTATAATGAATTACTGCTTTCAGTGTGTAAAACCCCCAGCTTTTCAACAAAAGACTAGTAGAAATAAGCCAGTAGTAAGTAAGTTTAATAGAAAATTGATTAACAGTCTCTTTGTCCTAATTTACAGGACCTTAAAGATCCTTCTTGGAGGCAGTGGAGAGAATTCACTGTAAAGTATTTATTTTTGCCATACCAGCTGATAGCTGAATTTGCTTGGGATTGGCTAGATGTGCATTACTGGACCTCAAGATTTATAATTGTAAATGCCATGTTGCTCTCTGTTCTGGAATTACTCTCCTTTTGGAGGCTGTGGTCAAGAAGAGAATTGAAGTAAGTCTTACAAAGCTTGTGGAAGAGGGTGGGAAGTACAAGGCCTTAGAAAATAACAGCCTTACAATTTCCCAGTTGTTCACTGGAATGAGTGTCTAACCCAAAATCTGAGGTTAATAACATGTGAATCTGCATTCCCACATTTGCTGCTGCTTGCTCTTGAATATCTTTATTTCTGTGTATGCTTCCAAGGGTTTCTTAGAGGTGGTTTTTCTCATCAGATGTAGCAAATGTGGAAACAGCAAAAAGCATGTTCTTAACCACTGGGAGATATGAAACCTTACCTTGAGAACTGCTGTTATGGTGCCTGGTATTAGCTGTCAGCTGAGAACTAAATACATCAGAATTTAGTCATGATAGAGTGTAGTTATTATGGGATGAATCCTCAGAATCAGAAATAAGTTCACTTATACTGATACTAGTTATGATAATTTATCAGAATTTCTGTTTTCTGTTCCTACCTCAGTCTTAATTCAAGCATATTACTATTCTTGGTTGGTGTGATCTTTGGAATTGGTATGGGAGAAATTCTTGTTTTGGTTGTACTGGGTTTTCCCTTTGGGAGCCGATAGAGGGCAGAGCGTGCCCGGAACAGCGCAGGGAGCAGGGGACAGCCTGAGGCTGAGCTGTGGTGGGCACTGGAACCTGCCGGGCTGAGCTGTGGTGGGCACTGGAACCTGCAGTGGGCACTGGAACCTGCCGGGCTGAGCTGTGGTGGGCACTGGAACCTGCCGGGCTGAGCTGTGGTGGGCACGGGCACTTGCCGGGCTTTGGGGTCTAAGTGCACTGACCGTGCTTCCTCTTCAGATCTGCTGCTACTGGGTTCTAGGAAAGTTTTTCCTGGAGTGCAAAATTGATTTTAAAGGTACCCGAGGAAGGGCTAGGTAATGCAAAGCTGTAGCACCTGTTAGGTTTTCTGGGTAAAAACAAACCAGAAAGTTCCTCTAAGCCTTTCCCTTTCCTTTTTCACAGGACTATTCCTCACAGAATGTGGAGACATTTCTGGAAAGTCTCAACCCAGGGACTTTTTGTTGCCATTTTTTGGCCTTTTATTCCTCAGTTTGTCTGCAATTGTTTGTTTTACTGGGCCTTGTATTTTAACCCAGTTATAAACATTGATCTTGTGGTCACAGAGATCAGGCGTCTGGAGACACAAGTGCAGTGATTGGCATTGGAACTCTTGAGCTGTTTAGCTTCTAAAATGGACATTTTGAATAAACTTTGCTTTTCTTCTTTATGTACGTGGCAGTGAAAATCATGGATTATGTTATTTTAAACATGTGAAAAAGCTTTAAGATAAGTTACTCTTAAACCAGCTGATTCCAAATTGGAGGATGAAGGAAAAATGAATTTTCTGTTGGAAAAAAAAAAGCACATTCCTGTATAGCCATGTAAAACTCATACAGTCATCTCACCCTATTTGTACCAGATAAATTTCTCTATTCTGTCCTGAGCATTCTGTGTATTTTCGAGCCTGCCTTAAAGTCAGTGTCTTCTGCACTGCTACAGTGATTTCTTTCTTTTTCGTTTTAAACTTAGCATTTCATACCAGCAGTGTGTTCCTCAACTTCAGTTTGCCAAAGGAATGCCCTTCCTGGATAGGCTTGATGTTAGAAGAACTTCATTTATCTCAGTCTCCTGTACATGTAGCATTGTAATTGCCCTAGAGTTTCACAGTAGAGTTGTTCCAAAATTCCTGCAGCTGAAGGCAAAGGCTACTTGAATTTTCCTGTGTCTTGGAAAATGTGATAATTACCATGGAAATTTTTTATTCAGCTCAGTTAGACTTCATGAATAGCTCCTTTCATTCTCTCTTCTTGAATTCTGTTGCTAATTCTTAAATATGTCTTAAAAAGGATTATTTTGGAAAAGTGACCTGACACTGTAATTACTTATGGCAATATAATGTGTGTATCTCTGTCTGTGAGCAAATATTGACTGGAAAGTTATTTGTGTAAGCAGGATTGACATTTGTTAATGTATGTTCTTTGACTGAATCAAAAGGTAAGATTTTTTTTCAAGAACTTTGTCCCCTTGCAGTCTGCATTGGTTTGTTGTTTTGTTTATTTCATTTGTGTCAGTAATGTGAACTAAATTTGCCTATGAATATTTTTCATGATTAAAGATCACTCTTGAAATCTTCACTATTCCTATAGAGAATTTGGGTTTTGATTTTTGTTTGGGTTTTGATTTTATTTGTTTCTTTTAATATTGAAGTACATGTCATTAGCTTTGACTTGTGCAAACCTGTTCTTTAGCCCTGCATCTTTGAGTAAGTTGAGTTGGGTGAAAGCAGACATAAAACATTCCTGGATCTATAACTCTTCAAATCAGCAGGTACAAACCAGTGTATTATTCATCAGTTCAGGGTACTGATTTCTCTTCCCAAAGGGTTAAAAATATCTGTGAAGTGACCCTAGCTAAAACCAGCTTTACACCCTGATGAGGTGCATATACTTCTGAGCTTCATAAACTCTTGCTGTGCAGGATCAAACACTTGTGTGAAAGCCCCTTGGTCCCAACAACTTCTGCATTTTTTTCATGTTTCTGTTTTGGTGATGGTTTGCTTTTTTAAATCTGGCTCTAAAGTTCTAAGGGTAGAATTCCTCCCTGTGCTTGCAGGAAATTCAGGATATACATAGAGTAAGGAGTCTGAGCCTTATCAAAAAAACTCATTTAAAAGTATCTGTTTAAAAAACTCATTTTAAAAAGTAATTGCTAGAAAAAAACCCAATTATATGATTCTTCAATGCAGGTAGCATTACTCCAGGTGAATGAAATTCAACACTTCAATTAGGCTTTGTATTAAGTGTTTAATGTAGATGAGAGGGCTCTTTGTGCTGACACTGTCACTTCATGAACTTTTTCCAGTCAGTTCAAAGTTAACAAATGCTAAGATTTGCTAGTGGAGAAGTTTGATTTGTATCTTATAGCCAGTGGAGGGGGAATAAAAAGTTCATAGTGAATGATATTATCAATCTGAAAAATCTGTGAATCTGAATTAAACAAAAATTAACATTGTCAGTTACTCCTTAAGCTGATAAACTCACATTTCTATTTAGTGAATAATAAGTGCATGGGAGAAAGTAAATAACAGGAAAAATGTTTACATTGCCCATTTTGAGGTGGAGAGGCTGAGATGGAATGAAGGAGTATCAAGAAAGGGGAAAATCATTTCTTGTCATTATTGTGGCCAAAAAAAAGTCATTTTAGATTTAAATATATTCAAGAGTCATGTATCTGATACCTACACAAAGGCTGAATCTCACCACACAAAAAGTCTGGCCACAAAAGGTATTTTCTGTGGTAGGGAGCTTTAGAAAAACATTTGGCAGCTTCACGGTCACATTCACATGCCATTTTTTGACATTTATCTTCTAGTGAGTCTGAAAGAAAACACAGTGAGTTTGGTATTAGTCTGAAGAAATTAAAAATCCCCAATGGAATACCAAGAATTGCTCCCTCATGTTCCATATTTGCAGTACAAATGCCTTACATTTCAAGTGCAACAGGAACTGAGCTTTGGTAAGACTGAGAAGCTGTGCATCAGTCACCAATCACTGAGCTTGGCAGGTGAAAATACAACAGCCAGATAAAGTCTTAAATACTCTTCTTACAGTTTTTTAATAAAGGAACTCTGATAATTGATCTCTCTTTAGAAAGTGGTATGGGATCCTCTCTGCCTTTCCTCTTCCTCTAGTGAAACTGGATTTTGGGAAGATATTCCATTCACAGACCCTTTATAATCTACTCTAGGATATAGCATTAAAAATAATACATGGGATACATACATGGCATGCAAAGGTGTTCCATGTCCAGCCTAAACTGCCCACCTTTTTTATTAAGGGGTTCAGTAAGAAGTTAGGAAAACTATGTTTGTGATTAATCCATGTCTTGCCATGTTTGTTTTATAATTGTAGTGTTGTAACTTAACAGATTTCTTGGCATGAGTGTTTCTTCTTGGCATGAACATTTTCTTCTACAGCAATGTATTTTGGGTTCCGTGTGCCAACCCAGAAGTGTGTGGTTTTTTTCTCTCTGTAACTGTCTGTAAACTGAAGAATCCTTGATTACATTTTGTCTGAGTGTTTATCATTTTAAAAGCTTAGCCAAATCACTGCTTGAGATTTGTCCAGGAGCAGAACAAGTGTTCAGTTTTGTGAATGAACTCAAATTCTGCCATGAAAGAGAAGTATTCTTAATGTAAATGTGTTTATGCTGCAGCTAGCTACTCAGTAGCACAGGTAGCATGAACAACATGATAGGATAAAAAATGAAAACATGTTAACTGAGAACTATTGCTTCTTCTGTTCTTCTCCTGGTATTTGGCTCCAGACTTTGGTTTCCTGACACATTGCCTGATATCTTGGCCAGTATTTTGAATATTGTCAGGAGCAAAATCTTTACAGCCAAATAAGGGTGAACTGTGATGTGATTAATTAGTGTGAGAGATGTTTTGTCCATCTGGGGCAGGGGAAGATTTGAGCAAGTAGAGATTCTGAATGAGGTAGACACTTGGGCAAAGGAAAGATTGAATATGAAGGAGGAAAGGAAGCAATGTCCAAACTTTCATTTGTTTTCAGGTCAGGCAAATTCTAAATTGAGTATGAAATGAGAGGGTTTTGTGTTCTGTGTAAATGGCCAACTGTTGCCTTTAAACCATGGTAGTCAGAAACTCAGACTTGTTTTAAACAAGTTCATGTAAAGGGTTTTGCATTTCTGTAGTGCAAATAATAACCAATTTTTAAGCTCATTTGCATTCTAGGTAGAAGCATAAAATTATATGTAAAGTAACTGACTGAGCATCTGATTTTTAAAACAAAACAAGCAAACAAAATCCCAAACAGCACACAAACAAAAAACCAATATAAAAATGTAGCAAAAAAACCACCCTGTAAATATTTGGGGCTTGTGAGAAGCTACAGTTTCAATGAGTCTTTGAGTATATTGGAAAGCATTTGCTAAAACTTCAAAGAGTTATGAACAAATAATGCAAAAGAAAAGCTGCTTTTTCCTGTTAACCATTTTTTGGGGCTTTTCTTTCTTTGTGATTTCGTTGTCCTTCCCTTACCTCAGCATGGGAAGTATATTTTGGAACAATCCAACAAAATTTATCAGGATGTGGTTGGCAATTGTTGCAATTTGTACACTTGTGTTATGTAGATACTTTCAAATTAGTATTTGTTAATTTAACTTCCAGAAATAAACATACTCATCAAATATTTTATTACCTCATTGTTTGAAACTGTAACCTGTAATTATCAATTCATTCATAAATTGCAGCCATCAGCGCAACTGATCAGGGATAAATATGCCAAAGCCATGTCCTTTATAAACTTACAAATAGTGGGGAATATTTTCTGCTAAGAAGGGAAAACATCCTTTTTAAACTGTTACAATTTTCCTATCTCCTGTTTGTAGTTGCTCTCCAGCTGGAGCCTTGCAGGGAGTAGCATAACATGGGTTCCTCAGCAAATGTAAATGCTGAGTAAAAGGATGGTTCTGGTTATGTTTTCTGAAAAGGTAATAGATGCTTCTAGCTCTCAGTTTTGTTTGCTTATGTCAGTCAGAGGGAGGATTAAGAAGAAGAAACTGCATTCAGTTGATTGGTTTAGCTGTGCTTTCTGGAGGCACAGTGTATCCTGGCAAAAAAAAAGTTACAAAAGGAAGGATGGTAAACTAAGAATTTTACAGTTAATTAAGAAAATACCTTTCTAAAGAGATAATTAATAGAAGTAAGAAACAACCAAACCAAACAAATAACCCAACACCAAAAAACTCCCAAGTGCTCACTCACCACACACAGCAGAATTGTCTTTGCATTCCCAGTGGTAACTTTCAGTTTTGGGCTGGCACCCTGCTTGTTCTGCCCTCCCATAGCAGCAGTCGTGGTGAAAGCAGCACCTGAGAGGAACAGAGATGCTGATCTATGGCCACACGGTCTGGTGGGGTTACTACAGCTGTGGACTTATAAAACACTCAACATCACTGAGTGTCCAAGCATTACCTGCTCAGGAACCAAACCAGGGTCATGGTTTAAGAGATCACCTGGAAAAAATTACTACTTTTTCATGTAATAAGTGATGAGAAAAATGTCTGATATGCATTGAGCTAATTGAATCCTCAGAGCATTCTCAGTTACATGTGAGAATGCTTTTCTCCTAGCCCCCTTCCACAAAATGAACTGCTAGCTCATTATCATCAGAAAATGTGGAAAGTTGCTCAAAATTGTTTCAAAATTGTTCTTGTCATAATTGGCACAAAGAATTTTTAGGCTTTCTATTGACATTGTGAAACTGAACAGTACAGATAAGAATTAATGGCATTTAATGCTTAAAAAAGGCATTAAAATGTGCTGGTGTAGTGTCTCTGCTGTGGAATCATTGCAAGCCCAGAAAAGCAAGGAGAGGACCTGTAATGATGCAGCTTTTTGCTGCAAACTAATGACATCCTTTCTTTTTGACTTTCTGGAAGAACTGGGTGTATCCACAAAGTATTCATTCATTCATTCACTCATTCACTTTCCTCCTGGCAGACTAAAACCATCAGATTGTAGTAGGTAGATGGTGTTTAGGTTGCCTGAGGAACTTGTGTCTGCAAAAGGAAAAGTTAATGCTGTGAGCTCTCACTTTGCAATTACTGTTTTTCCTGTGCTTA